GCCGGTTGATCCTGGATAACACTAAGTGCATGAAATTTCGAAATTTGAATGGCCGCCGTTTTTAATAGGGGGTAGCGACTTAAAATTTTAAGGGTGTGTTTGTTATGAAAATACCTTTCAAATGAAAGGTATTTTCATTTGACCCCCACTCGACCCTTAGTCCAATTAAAAATTTTCAACCCCCTTTTACCCCCGCGTACCAGGGGGTGGGGAATGATCGGTATCAATATCATAGAGTAGCTTTTTTGAAAAATCAAAATACATGTTTTACAGCTTTTTGATATTTTCATTTTTACAAAAATTATTTAAGGGTTTCCACACTTTTGACAAACCCTGTATATCACAATTTCATGAATTTCATAGGCTTTTTCACAGAAAAATAGTCCTCTCATAGAAATATATAAAATATTCATGCAGGTACATACAAATAGGTGTATATTTCACTTACAAATATTTTTTATGATATGAGGTAAACTTTAAGTTGCAGAAAATTGCTGATTATTATTGACGTAAATAATACATCTTTTTCAGGAAATTTATATGTAAATTTATATGTAAATGGAATTATATGTAAATGTAATATGGAATTTATATGTAAATATATTTTCAATTTATAACTGTGTTATATGTCTAACAGTCACAGAAAAAATTAATATGTCCTATGAAAAGAAAAATTATATTAGGTTGGGGAAAAAGAAATCCATTATTTTTTCGTTTATTTCAAGGCTTTATTTAACATAGTTAGGATTGTTCGATTTTGGTCTAATAAGCACCGTTTTGTTCTACAATTTGTCATTTTAAAGGTAATTTCATGATCCCTCTTTCATAGAAGCCCTGGTCCTTATTTGCAAAAAACTCGACTAAGCGATTTTCACAGTCTTCTCTTGAGGTCAATTTTTTACCATCAAGGAAGTTTTGCAATGACAAAAACAGATAGTAATCGCTTGGTGCCAGGTCCGGACTATAAGGTGGATGCATCAAAACTTCCCAACCAAGCTCCCGGAGTTTCTGACGAGTCATTATAGACGTATGTGGCCTGGCATTGTCCTGATGAAAAATAATTCCTCTCCTATTGACCAATTCTGGCCGCTTCTGGTCGATCGCTAGCTTCAAACGGTCCAATTGTTGACAATAGAGGTCCGAATTTAGTGTTTGGCCATATGAAAGCAGCTCATGGTGGATGATTCCTTTATAGTCCCACCAAACACTCAGCAAAACCTTCCTGGCCGTTAATCCTGGTTTGGCCACCGTTTAAGCCGTTTCGTTGCGCTTTGACCACGATCGTTTTCGCACAATATTGTCGTATGTAATCCATTTCTCATCCCCAGTCACCACCCGTTTCAGAAATGGCTCGATTTCGTTCCGTTTGGTCAAGGCTTCGCAGATTGAAATTCGGTCCATCATGTTTTTTTGCGTCAATTCGTATGGCACCCAAACATCGAGCTTTTCTTGAATCCTGCTTTATGCAAATGGTTTAAAACTGTTTTGTGGTCGATCTTCAGCTCCTGGGCGATACTACGACTGCTAACATGCCGGTCCACTTCGATCATTTCCATAATTTTATTGACATTTTCGACAACGGGCCTACCTGTGCGAGATGCATCTTTAACATCAAAATTACCGGAACGGAATCGACGAAACCAAAATCGTTACTATCGTTACCTTTACTATCAAGAATATATTACTATAATAATGCCCTAACTTTTGTTAACTTATCGACCTTTGGAAATTTCAAAATTATTAAATTAACAAAAGTTAGGGTACTATTATAGTAATATATTCTTGATAGTATATAAATAAAGTATATAATATATATAATAATAATAGTATATAAATAAATAAAATAAAAAAGTAATACTATTTTTTCTTTCGACGAATAGTTAGCGAGATATCGTAAGTTAAATGGTGAAAAAATTACCAAGTTTTTCTTAAATATCTCAAAAATATTAAGCAAATAAAAAAATATTTCAGACAAAAGTTGTTCAAATTAGTTGGTCGAAAAAGATGATATAATAAAAGATTTCTATTTAAGAAAATTGATGATTAGTGAATATCTTGAAAGTGGCGCCATCTCTAAACAAAATGCTATCGCTGTCTTATATCCCCTTTCAAGCCAAACAACTTTTGTCTGAAACATTTTTCGATTTAACGCAGTGTTTTTGTGAGTGAGATATTTGAGTGGGTCCTTTAAAATGGGACACCCTGTATATACATACATACATATTGCTGCGTCCGTGTCTTTGGGGGACATGATATCCCCACGCTCCTGGGAGTGGACTGCAAAGGAATCGAACAGAGATTGTTTGATAGCTGTTGTTGTCAAGGAGGTTGTTTAATAAATAAAAAAAGGAGAGATGAGAGAGTCGCCCGAGTTTTGTCAAGACGAACGGACGTGTTAAAAATAAAGCTTCTTTCGTTTTGTTAATTCCGTGTTATTTTTCTTGCGCAAGGGCGCAACAATATATATATATCTATATACGTGGACGGTCCGATAAGTACTTAGCCTCACCGCCCGATGGCGCCACTATCACAAGAGAAATTTACTATCGTGTAGTACATTCTCGTAGACGGCTACTGTCGAAATTTCAGCCGAATCGGACTCGTAATTTTGTTTTGACCGCGTGTGGAAGCGGGCGTGTCCGCGGATTTTAGAAAAATGGAAAAAGAGCAATATCGGTCGGTGATTCGATTCTTGTTTTTGGAAGGGAAATCGCGCAGCGAAATCAAAGAGCGCTTGGATGCTGTGTACGGTGACTCTTCTCCTTCGATGGCGACCGTCAAAAATTGGTTTAACGAGTTTCAACGTGGTCGCACGTCGGTTTTTGATGAGCCACGCCCAGGTGCCCCGAAAACGGCTACCACGGAGGATAACATGACAAAAATCCACGATCTCGTATTAGCAGACCGCCGATTGAAGGTGCGCGAGATAGCTGAGACAGTAGGCATCTCAAAAGACCGCGTGGGTTATATCCCGCATGAAATTTTGGGCATGAGAAAGCTGTCGGCGCGATGGGTGCCGCGTTTGCTCACTCCGGACAACAAGCGCAACCGTGAAACCACTTCAGCAGTGTTTGACGCTGTTTAAGCGCAATCCGAAGGAGTTTCTGCGTCGTTTCGTGACCGTCGACGAAACATGGATCCACTGGTACACACCAGAGACTAAGGAACAATCGAAATATTGGACTTCACCCGGCGAACGTGCTCCGAAGAAGGCGAAGACTGTCCTATCGGCCGGAAAGGTGATGGCCACCGTTTTCTGGGATTCACAAGGTGTGATCTACATCGACTACCTGGAGAAGGGCAAAACGGTCACAGGGCTGTACTATGCCGAATTATTGGGCCGATTCGACGCCGAATTGCAGAAAAAACGGCCCCATTTGGCGAAGAAAAAAGTGCTCTTCCACCATGACAACGCACCGGCTCACACCTCCGCCCTCGCCACGGTCAAATTAATCGAATTGGGCTACGAACTGCTGCCCTATCCACCATATTCTCCAGATTTGGCCCCGTGCGACTTTTTTTTGTTTCCAAACTTGAAAAAGTCACTCGCCGGGTAGAAATTTGAGTCGAATGAGGAGGTCATCGCCGCCACGGAGGCCTACTTTGCAGACCTCGAGAAAACGTATTTTTCAGACGGGTTAAAGAAGTTGGAGCATCGCTGGGTCAAGTGTATCGCTCTAAAAGGAGACTATGTTGAGAAATAAATCGCCACTTTTCCAAAATTTTCGTTTTTCTTTTGTAGGCTAAGTACTTATCGGACCACCCTAGTATATATAAAGCATTATTGCATACAAATTATATTACAAATGTTGCTGCAATGTTACACTGCAATGTTACTGCAATATTTCATTGCAATATTGCTGCAAGCGGACATTTTACCTTTGCTGCAAGATTGCAGCAACATTGCAGTAACATTTCGCATCGTTTCTGCAATGTTGCAATCTTGCAAAACAACGTTGCTGCAATGTTGTTGCAACGGTGCTGTGCTGTATGGGAATGCACATTTTTCAGCGAATATTTAATGAAAGCTGTGTCATACCTCGATGTTTAACGATAATTCGCGACCGAGTCTCAGCTGACGAGTCGAAAACGAAACTTCGTGACGCGAAAACCGAGTTGCCTTTACGCAGCTGGCGCGCTGAACTTTTCTCGGCATTCCGACGATTTATTTCACTTCACTTCGCGCAGCGGAACGAACGTCATTCCACCATAACATGCGCTCGAAACTTATTTTCGACATTCCCGGTAACGATTTAAGGCACGAGACTCAGCTACGATGAATGTCAAAATCACAAGAAATCACGGGCGACGGTTTCTTGCACACAACACAATCCGTAACCGGCGCCATAACTAAGGCCATAACTAAGGCGCCATAATAAATAGGAATCGCAACTGCGAACAGCACTACAAGCGGGATACTCGGGAAGCTGAGTTGACCAATCGCGGTGATTCATTTCTTTCCGTAGTGGAACTATTTATCTGCACAAAGTGTACGAGGACGAGGTGCGGGTGAAAGCAGTCGATGATATTTCGATTTAGGCTGCGTTCCGAAATTCACTGTTCGTACTGAAAATACATAGTTTATGTCACGTATACTATAGAATTTTAGTGCTGGCAGTGAATATCGGAACGCAACGTAGTCTTCAGCGCGCCCATATGGATGCGCAATCTATCTATATAAGTCTATAGGCCTGTTCGTTTTGTCTGCACTGCTGAACTGGTGCAACAAATTGAAGTGAGAAAACCTACGTTTGTCTCACTTTAACTTGTTGCACCAGTTCAGCAGTGCAGACAAAACGAACAGGCCTTATGGTAGAAACAAATGCGTCTGGCCAAAATATCTAGTGATTTTCGATTTGGATAAATGTCGGGTATTAATAAGATTGTGTACAGCGCATGAAATGCAGCAACTAAATATTTTATTTTTTAGGGTTTCTAACTTGGCAACTTCTTTGTTTCTAGAAAGCAAATTTTCTTATTGGATATCTAAAATCATACGTTGAATATCGGATACAGTGTGAATTATTCGTAAGAATTTACCGCCATCCGTTTTCCTATCTACAATCCGTCGACCGTTGCTTCTTCTCTGTCGGATTCTCTTTGGTTTCGCTGACCTCAAGTATCAGAGTCCTCCTTGTTACATCTCATATTGGTCACGTTCATCTGGACAACAGGAGTGGTTCTACGGTTATACGTGCTTCTAAAGTAAGTAATACAGTATACGAAAAATATTGTGAGCCGAGAAATCATCGATTCGGTCACCCTCGTTGCACGTTCGTTCGATCAAGTTTCCGTGATGTTTAATGGCCTCGGCCATCATCGTGGTCTATGTACCGCGCGCGATCTTAACCTCTGAATCAGCCGTCTGGCATTATGTGCGTAATCCACACGCATGACGTGTGTGCCTTCAAGGTGCGCCCGATATAACGTACAATGGAACGACGCAAAGAACTCTCGATGCGGCCATTTGTTAAGAATTGCATTGAACTGTCTTTGAGGTCAAGTGTCAGAATGTATTGTGACTGTCGTGGCCACACGCTCTTGTCTCCGCATTTTTTTTAGTCACATATTGATAAATCGACGATTATATCATAAGGAAGGAAAAATTTTTAACGCTCCCAATACGTCGGAGTGTCGAATCTTATGTCTTGCAAATGTCCTAATATATTTCACAAGTTTTCGCAACTTATCTTTGCCATCTTGAAAAAAATAGCTTTGAATGATATAATGTTCGAGAGAGGGCATTTTGATTACATTTTATTAACATTTTGGTTTTTATGTTTTCCAGAAGGTTATTGTATGAGTCAAAAAATAGAAAAACCGATACTATCAGGTCAACGTATAAAGACCAGAAAAAGAGGTAAAAATAAATACTCATATTGAAAGGGCATATGAAATTCCTTAGAGGTATTGAATTATAACACAGTCATCATTAATAGATGAGAGAGAGAAGTATGATCCAACGGGGTTCCGTGATGCAGTTTTGCTTGGCTTGGAAAAGGCTGGTAACGACCTAGAAGCAATTTCTAAATATTTGGACGCGGCTGGTTCCAAGTTAGACTATCGTCGATACGGGGAAGTACTATTTGACATTTTGATAGCTGGAGGCCTTTTGGTTCCTGGTGGTTCCATTGCTCAAGATGGCGACAAACCAGTTAAGACCAGTGCATGTGTGTTTGAGCAGCCAGAGGATATGGAATCTATGCGGAATTTTGAGCAGGTAAATATCAATAGGAAGGTAAATTTAGATTGCTCTTTGCAATCATCTGTCTTTATTATTTTGCTAAGAGGAAAACTATGTTTTACGGGTAATACATATCTATGAATGAAACAGGTTTTTATCAAGCTCATGCGACGATATAAATATCTGGAAAAAATGTTTGAAGAAGAGATGAAAAAAGTTTTGGTATTCATAAAGGGATTTTCACCTAAAGAACGCATCAAATTAGCTAGAATGACAGCATTATGGATTTCTAACAGTTCTGTACCACCTACAGTACTCTCAGTGTTGATCAATGAACATCTGGTCAAAGACAATTTGGCATTGGACTTTCTTTTAGAAGTTTTTGTCACCTGGAAACAAGAGAAAGGTTTATCCAGTTTAATGACTGCTTTGAAGAAAGGAGGTATCGAAGGAAGGTATATATAATGATAAACTATAAATATTACATGTAACTCTTGAAATCAAGCACGAGAAAAATGACAAATAAAAGTTTTATCTTAATTACCAGTATTTAGCTGTGCGTGTGTGTATGTAAATCAAATATAATTAAGTTTGTATGTAATATGTAATATAATTAAAATTGTATTAATTTGTAATAGTTAAATATGCAATATAGTTGCTCAAGTACTATTATTACTTTGCATGTTCACATAATTCTATATACATTTATTTAATACTTAAGTAATTTATTTGCTACTTATGTAATTATTTTAGACTGATGGAGTTTGTACCACCAAATAAACGAACAGAAGAACACTTTCGGTCTGTGTTTGAGGCAGTGGGCTTAGCTGACATTGTGAAACTGCATAAGGCTCAGGCAAGTCAGGAAGCTAAGCGAGATCTGCAACAACTCCTTCTGGACGATTTAGCGGATAATAGGCCGATGAAGGATATTATATTCGATCTCAAAGAAATGGCACAAAGGAGTGGCATTCCCGAACATGAAGTGATTGGATTGGTAAGATCAATCTTTTTTTTAATGGATAGTTTGAAATTCACAAAAAACTCTTACGAATGTTGACCATTTCCGTCTATAGATTTGGGTTGTTGTAATGGGACAAGCCGAATGGAACAAAAAAGAAGAATTAGTCGCTGAACAAGCACTGAAACATCTAAAGATTTACACTCCACTGTTCGGTGCTTTCACAACCACTGCCAGATCTGAACTCGCGCTTATCCTCAAGGTCCAGGAGTTCTGTTACGAGAACATGAACTTTATGAAAGTCTTCCAGAAGATTGTTTTACTCTTTTATAAAAGTATGTTGATACACGTGTCGGAAAATTGTCTAATATTCTAATAAATATAACTAAATGTGTGACCCCTTTGCAGCGGATGTTGTCTCAGAGGAGGTAATATTAAAGTGGTACAAGGAGGGCCATTCAGTCAAAGGTAAAATGCTCTTCTTAGACCAAATGAAGAAATTTGTAGAATGGTTGCAAAATGCCGAAGAAGAATCGGAATCAGGAGAGGAAGAGGATTAAAAGCACTCTCTCAAGTAAGTTTTTTTCAATAAAATCCCCTTGTACATTTATTATGTGTCTCTTAATGCGACTTCCTTCAACAGGACGCATCATTGCCAGAAACAAGAAAAATTGACATAGTCCCGAATTTTCAAAATGGGTCAACAATTCAATATCAATCGTAAAAAGCACTTGACAAAAGTCCAGTTATACAGATAAATAAAACATAAGTCAATGTTAGGTACTGTATGTTGGATCAAGTGTATAAGAAAATAGGAAATTTTTAAATCGTCAATAAATTAATGCTAATACCCAATCATCAGTGTGAAAGATGAACTGTAAATTTGCAATGTCTTTGAATTGTATTACTTTAAGAAAAAAATATTTTGTGTTACATTTTTATAACTCCGCTACAAAAATATATACAGAGAATAACAAAAAAGTTATAAGAAAAAGAAGGAAGAGAAATCTTTATCCCTGTGTACGTACAATTTTCGGATCCTCCTTTCTTTGTATAATATTGTACTAGTTTTTAGAAAATATACTGTCAGGTAGAGTATTTGATGTCCGATCTTTTGGTGAATCCTAACTTCCTCGTGAGTAGAATGGACAAATTTTTCAATGAAGAATCTTGACGTTATATTACGACTAATTGTTATATTGATACGTATATATATATATATATATATGTGTGTTAAATATCGAATAATATAAAAATAGTACACTTTTTCGAAAGGATAAAAAAAGGGTATTCATCCTATATCAACTGAAGAGATTCGTAATGCGGTTGCAAAATGTCGACTAATTTTCAAGAGATCAAATCTACTTTCACATGACTTATTACGACTAAAAAATTTGTTCAATCTATGATAAAAGCGTTTCTTTATTTTAATAATACATGTTTTAATAATTGCCATTGTAGTTATATATCACTTTCACTTAAATCTTGCTTATACTTGAAAGTTCTCATAGTCGCGACTGGTTGCTTTCTGATGAGCGTTTTATCCTTCATCAGAGGCACCAGGCTCTTCGGTACAGTGATACGCGCGTGCTTCGTCTGATAAGACTCGCATAATGCGATCAACATGCGAGGTATCGCGCAAGCGGTCCCGTTCAGCGTGTGCACATGAGCCGTGCCACCGTCTTCGGTTTTATACTTGATGTTGAGTCGTCTCGACTGATAGTCCGTGCAATTACTGCAACTTGACAATTCGCCGTACATCTTTCTTCCAGGCATCCAGCCCTCTATGTCTGACTTCCTGAAAAACATTCACCTTTTCGTAAGAAAGTAGAAGCTACTTGCGAGATATACTTGTGTCAAATGAAAAAAAAAGAATATGTGTGTTACAAAATTTCCATGGCTTTGTAAACGCGTGATACTAATTGTTTTCTTTTTCTTATTGATTTTTCAAACGAATTCTGCGAGAATAAACTCGTCTTATTACTGTACCTATAAGCAGATGTACCCAGGTCAGTCGGAGGCATGTCCATTACTCGGAAATGCAGTCCCAACGACGAGAACAATTCTTCCTGCATGTTCCGGAGATCATGGAACACTTCCTCGGATTGCAGCGGTTCACAACAAACGAACATTTCTACTTTGGTGAACTGATGAACCCTATTTATAAAAGTGAAAGTCGCAAAAATAAAATGGCTTTGAGTTGAAAAAAAAAGAAACATAATCTCAACGTTGCTTCCAACGTTACTTTACCTATAGATACCTCTTTCGTCCAGTTTGGTTGAGGTCTCCGCGCGGTAACATCGACTAACAGCGACTAATTTCAGCGGTAATTCATCGCGAGAAAGGATAGTGTTCATCATTCTACCGGCTAATGCAATCTCCGCGGTCCCGGACAAGCTGTAATCGTCTCCATAATAAGGATCCAAGTTGTATACAAGGGTGCGAGCACCCTCCATTATCAAACCGCACCTATTGATTAGTTCTGTAGGAACAATATCGGGGACCGACAGCAGTTGGAATCCATTCTTCAACAATTTTTTCACTGTGTAACGGACCAATGCTTCTTCCAGTCGTGCCAGGTCTCCTAAGAGCATGTACGCTTTTTGTCCAGCGACAGGTCCCAATCCTGTTCTTATCAGTCTCAAGTGATTGGCAAGTTCCGTAAATTCCTGAGGTTCAAAATCGTATTCTGGCTTCTCGCCGTATTCCTTCAGAAACTTCGGTGTATCACCGTACTCGAATATCGCGGAATGCGTGCAATTTGGTATTCTGCTCAATTCTTTCGAGAGCAATTCTCTCTTCTCGGGTTTATCCGATAATTCAAGAACTCTGTTGATATCTCCGATACTCTTTCGCCTCTTTATGTTATTCAAAATGGTGTCACGATTGGCAGGATCGCATAAAAAGTCTGTGTTGTACTCAGGCTCGGGTATATGTAACTTCGTGCTGGCAACATTTTTCTCTGGTACTTTTGCAGGCTATTGCATGAATATCAACGACATTAATATCATTATTATCGAAAAATATCATCAGCAATGTGCGAGTAAAGAAATAAATAATAGAAGTCCAGTAAACAAATAACATTAGATTAATATTTTGAAATGTCGATTTTATGTCTCTTGAATATTTTCACATATTTGAAAAAGAAAATTCAAAGATATTGCTAGACAATGTAATCCTGTCGAATGTTCTAAACATATTATTATTAAACTGTCAAAATTACTTGCAATGATGTTGATACTACATTCAAAATCATATATTTCAGAAAAATATATATATTGTTAAATATCGTTTCAATCAATGTTCAATCAATGATTTTTTTTGTTTGCTGGGAAGCAAGACATAAAATTACGTACCAATGTATGTAACCAAGAATGCTGTAATCTATGGATTTGCTTGAATAATTCCTTGAATTTCATTTTGTCTAAGATTAAATATACCAACTGGCTGTCCTATGCAAACAACAGAAAATTCTGACAACAATTCTAGAAAATTATGACTCGATTAGATCTTATTAAACCTCCATCATTGATGTTCATAATTGTTCATAACATTATATTACAAATAAATGCAACTGAGAACACATTCAATATAAGAGAAGAAATGATAGCTCTATTGTTGCTACTGATGTACAAATTTGATATTTAACAAATAATATCAAATATTCTAATCACATTATGAATGATTTTCTTTAGTAATTCATAAGAGTAATTAAACGATTGAATAGACAAATACAAAAATTATGTCCGGATACGACAGAACATGATACGATATACGATAATTAAATTTTGGATAAACCTTGAGTGCAATTGATGGTTTTTATACGACTTTTCATCGAACAATTAAACGGATCACACATTTAGCTAGCGATAACAATACACACACATGAGCTTTGCAGCAACGGTCTTTTTGTACCCGTGGACGAATAACAAAACCTCTATTGTTATTTCGGAATTTAGAATCAATCTGCATTTTAAGTTAATTACCCTGTGACGAAGCAACAGTCGCAAAAAATTAATTGGTTCATAATTGGCACTTGTAAGTGAATATATAAACTTATTGACGGGAAACCGATCACAGCACAAATGTGCTTAAAAGATTAGTTGAATTTTTACATATATTTCAATGGATATTCTTCTTATTTTGAAGATGACATACAACGTGTAAGGTGCGGATACATCACGTGTGATATTAAAAGTAATGTTGGAGTGTTGCGCCATGTAAAATGTGTACTAGAGTTATATTTAGTAAAGATTGTTTTTTTCCACTTACCGACAACCGTTGATTCGGTGTGCGTGTATGTTGCGTAGTTTATTTCATAATAATTATACTTATTAACGATAAATATGTACTGAACCAATGATTGTCAATAAGAGTCTACAGAACACAACCTCGAACCTGAAAGAAGAAAAGAAAGACCTTGTATACACTCCACAAAAACGTACGTCGAATCCACGAGGAATTCACAAAACCGCATGGATATGAAAGTGAAGTGGACATAACGTTCCTATTTTTGTGGGGTATTAAACAGATATTTCTTAACTGCGGATTTATTTCATCAATATTTCTTTCAACATTCAATATTCGACGTTTCGTCGCTTCTCAAGCAAGCTGACGCGGATAATTCCAAAGTCATGTATTCGCACTCTCGCCATGTTTTACATGTGATCTACATACGTTCCACCATATTCATCCAAGCTTTATCATATTCGGCCTAAGATTCAAAGTGTTTAAAACGCTGCTGATAACTCTAATTAGATCATCTTTCGAAATATATTGACAATATTGTGTTTACGTTTGTATAATTGAAATTGTGTTCAGTATGCTACAACAGAATAATAATTACTGCGTTATTTTAACGAAAGCAGGTCCTAGGGAACCAACTACTTCCGACTGATTTTGCACATATTTCCGAGGTATAGTGCAAGTTTAGCAATTCATATAACGGCTTGCTGTTTTGTAAAAGTTGTGCGAGCAATTTTGAATCGACCAAATCCTTGGTCCGAAAGGAAAGCCACACATTCTCGACATAATTTTTTACGTACGATCCTACATCATCGATTCTCGCTGTTATCGGATTGATGGTATTTAAAATATTTTCTTTGTCGTCTGAAGATAAACTTTGGCAATAGCTTTTAATAAGAAACTTGCAATATCTTCCGCATCAATTGTAATTAATTTTTTTGTAAGCTTAATGTTACTTTTACGTATTTTCTTTTCTCAAACAGGTTATATCGCTTTTCTTCGTGACTGTCACTAACAAATGTCGAGCAAACGCATTCCGATTTTCCTTGTTGCCACAGTCTACCACTGTCTAATGTTGAAATTATTGAAATATGCTGATTTCGGCAGCAATATTGTCAGTATCTTCAGGCCTACTTTAGGAGACGACATGTCGGACGCGTTGGGTTCTCTATTGCTCACTGGTTTCCGCACAACAGACGACTTCCGGCTGCAAGACACGACGAACGAAGCATCAGGCGAGGAAGAAAGCGAGGCGACAGCCAATTGTATCTCGCTACAAGTCCCTAGCTTCCTCACGAACAGACCGGTGATTGGCCGTTGCAGGAATCACGCGTTATTCCCTAGCGTCCGGCGCCTCTCATTTGCGAGCAGCTAACGGAAAGGTAAATTCCGTTCCCAAGCGTAAGGTCTGGCGTCATTTGGTCGAACGGCAAAAGGAGGCTACGAGAAGAGGAAATCCAAAGCGGCGGCGTATCGACCGAGCACTAACGTGCCCGCGATCCTCCGGCGCGTTGTTACGCATCATCAGAGGTACGACGATCGATTAGCGACAATTGAGATCATACGTGCGGCGGTTTCGTCCCGCGCGTGCACCACCTCCGCTTTCGCGGGCTCGGCACGTCGTGTTCCGCGTGACGATAACTCCACTCGCTGGCTCCCCGTTGGCCATTTTGCTATCCGTTGATAAATTCACGGGATTTTCGTACCGACCGGTGAATGTGCCGCGCGCGAGAATAGTCGCGTCACACAAAGTGTCAAAATGCAATTTCGTGCGTGTTCAGGCGTGCTTTGACATGCAGGCGGAGCCCGTGAGTGAAATTTCGTGATGGATCGAGCGCGGCCGTGAGCGAGTACGCGCTTACCTGCGATGCCCGTTGTTGCCAATATTTCGATACGATGCGCGATGAATCGCCGGAACACGCTCGTAGTCTCGCGTTACTTTGCCCCTGAGAGGTATTCTGTGGCCGTGCGTAGACCTCTCTCTTTCTCTTTTTCTCTCTCTTTCTCTCTCTATCTGTCTCACCGATCGCAGTTTCGTGCAGCAATCAAAGTATCCTCGCATACATAATATTCGTCGGCATAGAACGCGCACGGCTTCGTCTGCGCGTTATTTAGCATCGGTCAGCAATCCGCGCACAAATTCGTGCATAATATACCCGCCAGTTTTTCTCGTGTTATGCGCGTCCCGTTTGCGATGCTCATTAATCCGCCGCTTATGCGCGCACGTTAATTGAGGTTCGATCGCGCTTCATTATTTATGTCATTAACTATGTCTTATATTCTAGGTACGATATTGCAAAGGTGCATGCTAAACGATGGAGATATCGTCGGATATATTACAGTCTTTGGATATTGTATCGAGTAAGAAGAACGTCATGGAAGTGTTGAAAGACGATGTCGCGGAGGAGAACATTATCTTGGAGTCTGAAGCGACAGAGGATACTGAGGAGACAGAGATAGAAGAAATTATAGAGATAATTGAAGAGATTGACGAGGACGATGAATCTCTTTCAGATGATATATCCTTGCCAAAGGACGATGATAAGATACCAAGTACAAAGGAGAACGGAGAAGTTATAAGGGATGATATATATGATCAAGAAACAGACAAGAACATTGAGATTTATGGTTTTGATGAGGACAATTCAATGTTCACATCGCCAACTATAAATAAAGAGGAGGCAACCAAAAATACAAATAACAACACACAAAAAAATAGCAGGAAGAAGCAAGTTATAAAGTATGATGTAGATGAGGATTGGCAGGATGAGGATCTGGAGCATATGGAGGATTTGGATAATACTGACGTACAGGTGCAGATTGCTCCCAAAAATAATAAAAAACATACAAATAATCAAAACATTACACCATCATTGCCATCAAACAAATTAGATATAAAGTTTCATACAAATTCTATGGCAAAGTCTGACAAGTCAAGAATGGACAGTGGTATTGGGAGTAATGTAAATAATGTGGAAGACAATAGTGATACTCATGAAATAGTGAAGAATGTAGAGAACAATTTGTTGTATACTGTACTTGGAACAAAGAAGCAAGATTCATCTACGAAGCAGCAAGAGAAACTTAACGATGGGCATTATATCAAAGTTATTGTCTATTGATTGAAATATTACAAAATATCAACAATGCTTTCATATCTTTATCTAACAATTATGTTTTAGATGGAACGACTTGATGAGAACACCATACCAGTTGAGGGTACTATTTATTACGAAGGAGATAACATGGAGACACTGTATGTAGCACAAGCTATTGACGACAATGAGCAATATCAGTATGATAATGCTACGATTGAACAAGACGAGCAAATGTGGGAAGCTTCGAATAACGATTCCAATCAAACCCAAGAGGAAGACAATTCTCAAGTATATAATCTACAATGAAATAGCTAACACACTTATGAATTTTACTGGCGAATGTGCTATGAATGTCTTATGATGATTCCAGGATCAGATATTTTTGCACGAGGACGAAGACGGACAGCTCTATTTCAAAGATGATTCTGGTGCTTTGCAACCGGTGTATCTGACAGATGATGGAAATTACGCAATCGCGGAAAGTAACGACGACCAAGTAACTAGTAAGGAATCGAAGCTTCAGCAGAATAATAAAACGGTGGAAAATGAGGATAGCTTCACATTACCCGAGTTAGAATCTAAATCTTCCAGTAAACAGGTATTATTGTGCATCAATAAGTTTGATACATGGAAGACTTGACGTGGTACTCTAGTATATTTATGATCTTTTTAGACATCTAGTGCTACTGTAACAGCAACTTCACCACTGCAAGATATTGACAATGAAGATAATAATACTGTAACCATCTCATTGATAATATCAGAAGATGAGAATGGACAAAAGAGAACTCAGGTCATTATACCAACAACAGACAACTTGAAATGTGACATCTGCAATAAGAGCTTCAAAACGTCTTTCCAGTTACTTAGGCATAATCGATTGAAACATGCTCGCGAGGAAGATATAACTACAAGAAACTTCCCTTGCGACTTGTGCCCTAAGAGGTAAGTTATGATTATTTTTTTATTGCACCTATTCATGTTGTATTTATTATTATTCAATCCATTCCTGCATATATTGTGTGCGTGCGTGCGTGTGCGCGCGTGCGTGTGTGTGTGTGTGTGTGTGTAGCACCTTAGGCTTCTGTTTTATAAAATGCCATTACACTTATATCCGATTGATATCTTATCCTATTATTACTGTATGTTTATTTCTTCCCCTTCCCCTCCTTTTTTTGTCACGTTTCAAATTAACTTGTATGGCTAAAACTGAAACCAGATACTTTCCTCTTGTCTGTATCTATTTCTCACTTTCCATCTTATTACGTCTATAATTTTCCTTTTCTATCCAACATACATGGTAACTACTCAATATCTAAGCTACTTATCTTTGTAATTTTTCATTTTGTTGTCGTTATTCATTAACTTTTTTATATAAACTTTTTTCTCTTGCTTTAAAATAAATGTATATGAATTAAACTCATAATTGATACAATTTAAACAGCTCACAATTAACACAAAATAATATGGAATTTATTCAAAAACTGAAACGTGGTTTCGAACATCGTCATTGATATTTCGTAATGTTCCCCATATTGTCTCTATCTTCCAATATATTCCCCCTCTGTTTAACCCTCGCTGTAAGTATATAATAAACATTAAGATTACGATTTTATACTTATTATTCATCCAGGTACCCAGATCAGACTTCTCTAGCACGCCATAGAAAAACTCACACCGGCGATCGGCCGTTCCAATGCTTGGAGTGTCACAAAAACTTCCCTACATCCACGGCGTTACGTCGTCATTTGAGTCTCCACAATTCACAATCACGACCGCTCCCCTGCATCTACTGCGGCCGTCGATTCATGGAGAAAGCAAGTTTGACGAAACACGAAGAATCGCACATGCCTCACGAGCAGCGTGTACACACATGCGACATATGCCAGAAGAAGTTTACACACGTGACCGATTTGACCATGCACAAGAAGTATCACGATCCTGACAAGAAATTCGATTGCGAGGTATGCGGCCGCGAGTTCAACCGTTTGAACAATTTGCAGAGACATATGATGGTTCATCAGCAAGTAAGCACAATCGCTTTGAATCCAGTCAATAGTTGTCCAGTGAATACACTTCATTGTAATTTCTTTTTTTTTTTTCGCGCATTTGTCTTCTTGTTTCACATCGTTCCATGTGATTGTGGACGTCGTTCCATCTGATTGTGGACGTCGTTCCATCTGATTGTGGACGTCGTTCCATCTGATTGATAAATTATTTTTTCTTTTGCAACACAGCAACAAGGAGGAACCGAAGAGATACTCTCCTGCGATGTATGTGGAATCACGTATAAGTTCATGAGTTCATTGACAAGGCACATGGTGACTACGCACATGAATCCTGAGAAGTTGAGACAGCAAGCGGAGGAGCAGCGACGAAAACGTGAGAACAACTACCGAAAATATCTGGAGAACCGAAGAATGTACGAGACTCAGCACACTACATATAATACAAAGCGCAACTATCATCATACCTCGCGTTCACTCACTGGTAATAACGATGACACGGCCTGACTTAATTCTCGCGTAGTATCTTAACTTAACGGTTTCGCGAAAACCATTACGACTATCTCCGTGGAAAATCACCTATGTAAAAAATAATACCATTGTATCTCAAACGTGCTGCATGCAGTCATGTTTGTTTTGTATCATTGATTGGCATAACCATACATAGATGTGCATTTAATGGACTTGCCGAGAGTATATAGCTAAAAAATATACACACGTGTGTGTGTGTTTCAGAGTAAGATTACTTCTTAATTAGATTGACATTATGGAATATGTATGCCAATGATACAGGTATACGAAAGAATACATGCATACATACATATATATATATACACACATCTATATATATATATATATATATGCACATACATACGCGTGTATGTGTGTGTGTACATTGTGTATGTATACAAGCAAATAATTTCTTTAGTCCTGTATGCACTGAAAATGCTGATTTAAAATAAAATAGCACCGTTTATATACAAACGTTTCAAGCGTGCCTTAAACTACTTATTCGTTTATTTGCACAACGTCTCGAGCGCTTTAAAATATGCATACTTAATATCAAATTTCATGTCATACCAATAATTAACGGATATGCAAGCATGGGACTGCGTTACATGATGGAACCATAGAGATGGCAGATACAGCGCATCTCCCGCATTCAGTGTGACTTTCAGAGTGTGTACCATACTTTGGATATCTATAAATAAAATGATTAGTTTACTTTGCAAGTTCTTCTCTCCGGCGAGTATTATCGGAGAAACAGAATGTTTCGTCGCATGTATACTGAACTTTTCATAATCTGGCTTTAGAGGGTCTATACATATCCATGGTGTCAATGTGGAAGAATTTGCAATTTGTTCCGAGTCGAATGTGCCGCTGCTGTCAGATCGATCGTCCACTTTCCAGACTCGTGTTCTTTATAAACAGCGGATGGATAATTTTGATATGGAATTCATGGTAAATCCGTGGGAGGATGTAAAATGAAGTTCTCACCATTCACAACACAATATGTTTTCATAATGATCTTTATGCACTGCAAGAATTAATAACGCAAATAAATGGATATACGTTGGAGTCTCATAGGTCCTTAGAATTAATCGCATAGACGTCTATTAAAATTATGTTTACGTTAATACTTATGTATACCAAGCGTCAATTATCAATGATCCTTTCTACAGATTATGTATAAGTATAAAATTCAACGAAGAAACGATGATCGTGCGTACGATTTTTTTTAACACGATGAGATTGAAAAGAAATTAAGATAGTCTCAATGTGTTGTCAAGTCAAAATAAAACTTTACTGGAAGTCACAGCTCTTTCATCTCCCATCCAGAAGTTCACGGCATCTGGTTACTTTCCGAACGCTTCATTAGCCCACGGTATCTCGATTTCTGCGTCCGACCACAATTTACAAAAACTGCTTATAAAATTTGAGTTCTGTTTCTGTATGTAAAATATGCTGTTCTTCCATGGATTCTCCAATTCATCGAGGAATTCTGACATCATGAGATTACGTTCTTCAGGCATTACGAAAAATTTTTTCCCAGTTTCATCCGTTTTGGCTATCGCGTCTGCATAGCCGTTCGGTGTTACGGCGACTGAAATCTTCTCATCACCGAATATCTTACGGAGATATGGTATGGACCACTTGCTTATAACAGGCCAATGTTTTATTGCTCCTCGTATCACTAATGGTATATTCTTTGAGACAAATTCTCGGTAGAAAATAAGCGGTGTGATTGTATGTGTTACTTCTGCAATATCTCTTTCCAAACATAATTCTATGAAATAAAATTATAATAAGAGAGGAGAGAATTATATGAATGTGAAAAAACTATTCAAGTATATTACTATTAATGTAATTGTATAAATTTAGATACTCTTTGTAGATACGTTGGTTGATATTACGATATAATGTAAGATGTTACAAAATAATTTATGAAATCACGATAAATTAAAGTATATATATATATATATAAAAATTCAATTTTATATACATAAGTTTTTTTACACAAATCTACCTTACGCCTCTCATGTTCATTTTTATTTTGTTTCTATTTTCATTTAATTTTATTTTTTATTTATTCATATTTTATTTGTATATTTGTACGTAATTATGGTTTATTTGTACAAATTATTATTATTATCACAAATTATATCATATAGCGATAGTATTTTTAAATTTTTTGACGAATGTTTTCATAAAAACATTTTTTTTGCCTTAGTAGATAGAAATCGTAAATCATATAGATCATTGTGCAATGTGTGTCCAATGAGGTTACTAAACATGTATCATTTAGATAAGCAACAAACCTTTTGTCTCTTGCGATAAAATGTAAAATGCTTCTTGAATTTTAACTTCAGCATTCGTCATTCTTCGAATATAAGTTATAAAAGAAGAAAACACAGCTGAATACTTATTGACAGATATCTAAAGTGTGACGGATGGATGTTAGGTTAGATCAGGAAATATAAATTCGTACATGTGTGTTTGTAATCGATACTCGCGACTTGTGAACACCGATGATTATTTGTCACATGCTATCGGAAATTTTATTACCGTCTGATTATCGGTAAGTGATAGGCGAGAAAGATCTACGTAACATATTTTAATGTGCATACGTAAGTCCATTCATCAATAAATATAGAATAGCAGTAATAGCATAATAGCATAAAAAAACTTATACTGAAGCAATTTTTAATTATATATATATATATATATATAGTAATTTTATATGTACACAGTTATGAAGCAAATAGAGTAATACTTATTGTATTAATGCCCCAGACAGCATACGGATGTCCATTGGACGTGCGTTATATGTCCATCTTTTTTACAAAAGACGTCCATAGGACGTACGTTTGTCACAACTTCGGACATAGGACGTCCTACAGGTTCGATGTCTAATAAGGACATCCTTGTTACGTCCAATTTATGTCCACGGACGTAAATCGGACATACGGACATAAATTGTACGTGAAACGTACATCCATTGGATGTCCGGTGCTGTCTGGGACGTTATATTATAGTGTACAAATTCTGTTATATTGTTATATTATTGTAATATGCATTTGCAAATCTTCTTAATACTGTCCATAAAATTGTCCATATACATGCATATTAATTATTGAATTATTATAAGTTTTATATAAAATAGCAGCCGACGATTTTACTCAATATATTATGTAATTATGAGTAAGAAGTAAAAAATGGTTCATACTGTGTAATTTTTTTTGTTGAAAATACTTATGCGGTGAACAAAAACTTATAGTTGTGCAAATGTATCAAACTCTAAAAGCATCTTTATTAATTGGAATTAAAGGTATAATATCAGAGTTTTGCACAAATAATAATATTTTGTAGGCACAATGTACGAGATAAACTAACAGAAACCTAAGACAAACTTGTAGATAAATATATTTTTAGCACATAATATTCAGCGATTGTCGCAAGCATGGAAAAACATAATATATTACAAGTACATCTGGAAAGACCTCTGTATGAACATAAAACCTTGAATCAAATTTATTGTTATGATAAACCAAGATCATCATGTGAGTGGTAAAAAAAGCCTATCGATGTTTGTGACTTGACATGTACGAATCCTACAATGTGAATTATCTTTTTATAGTGATACAAAACACAGTAAAAAATATCAGATCAAAAAATTGGAGGTCTTATGTAACATCTGTAGTACCAGCAATAAGATGGCTAGGTTCCTACAGTTGGAAGGAAAATATACTATCTGATATAATCTCTGGTTTAACTGTGGGAATTATGCATATACCACAAGGTATGGCTTATGCGCTTCTGGGAAATTTACCTCCCGTAGTCGGCATATACATGGCCTTCTTGCCTGTCTTGGTATATTTTTTCTTCGGAACATCTAAGCACATATCCATAGGTGAGCATATGTATGAAAGGTATAACATATGTATGAAAGTGATATATGTATAACAATAAGGACAAAGTGTTACAATAAGACATGTGATTTTTGAAAATATGCTGAGAGGATATTAGATGGAACAAGTTTACAAATGTTTAAGATAATCATGTATAGTGTATAGGTGTATAAAATATCATACAAAAAATTTTCATCTTCACACTGATGACAAGTTCTTTGGTCTTAGGAATTTAATACCAAATCACTTGGAATGACTCTGTCATAAAAATTACAGTCATGAATTATAGAATATGTGTCTACATGCTCTGTGGTTTTTAGTACACGATTAATGCATATACATATACATGAAATGGTGCAAACATAGTGAAATGCTACTTCCATTACAGAACTATTAAAAATAATACATCTTAAGTTTGACCTTATACAACAAGCTTGAACAATCAAACATTCTTGGCACCTATCAGGAACTTTTGCTGTGGTTTGCTTAATGACTGGCAAAGTAGTAACAACTTATTCGACAACTTACTCGACTGTGGGACACGTGTCTACGAATACCTCAGATGCAGTTTCTCAACGTCTCGAGGATGTCACGAATATGCACACACCAATGCAAGTAGCGACGGCCGTAACGCTGATGGTCGGGATATTGCAGGTCAATATTGCGTCGTTTTTCAGAAACTTGTTTCAGTCAACAGAAAATTAAGATTTTTCTTACTGTTATAGGTAATAATGTATATATTCCGATTAGGCATTGTGGCAACGTTGCTCAGTGAAACTTTAGTAAATAGTTTTACGACAGGAGCTGCGGTTTACGTTTTAATATCGCAGATCAAGGATCTTCTCGGTCTTAAGTTACCAAAGAATAAAGGATATTTTCAGTTAATTTTTGTGAGTAAAAATCTTGTTTGCATTTGGTATTGTATACTATGTAATATTATGTATATTATTGTAATATTATTGTATACTATGTAATATTATGATTTGTTTCCTGAATTCCTCCTTTCAGTCTGTTATAGATATATTTAAAGAAGTGAAGAATGCAAATATAGCTGCTGTGATAGTATCAACCATATCAATTGTTGTTCTTGTTATCAATAATGAGGTTTTAAAGGTAAGCAAGATTTTAACTTCATGCTCGAAGTTATAACTAAATTTTTTTTTGCCACTATATTCCATTAGCCACGGATAAATAAGAAATGCAGCATACCGATACCGATTGAGCTCATCGCGGTCGTCGGCGGGACGTTGGTCTCGAGATATTGCGATTTACCAAAGCTTTACGATATTAAAATTGTCGGACATATCCCCACAGGGTACGCGTATTCTTTTCAACATGAGACACGAACGCAAACGCAAAATTTAGATGTTTTTTTTTAATGATCTTTCGGCAGACTTCCCAAACCGGAAGTACCGAGTATCGAATTGTTGCCTTTGATAGCAGTGGACAGTATTGCGATAACCATAGTTTCGTATACCATCACCGTGTCGATGGCACTGATATTCGCGCAGAGGCTCAGCTACGAGATAGATTTGAATCAGGAGTTTCTTGCAATGGTGAGATGTAAACGTTACCTCAGAAATCGCAGTATTATATTTTCTTCCCAATCTTCTAACGTTTGATTGAATTTCTATGATTCCAGGGATTCAGTAACGTGGTAGGCTCTTTTTTCTCGTGTATGCCGATTTCAGCATCTCTAAGCAGATCACTTATTCAACAAGCTGTCGGAGGACGTACGCAGATAGCGAGCGTCGTCTCCTGTTTACTACTGCTCGTTATACTTCTATGGATCGGGCCGTTCTTCGAACTTTTACCGAAATGTGTACTGGCTTCCATAATAGTCGTGCGTATCGAATTAACAGTAAAACCATACATCTATAATCGACGATCATGAGAAGCCTTAAAAAATTTGCAAGACGATTGTTTTCTTCTTTTTCACAGGTAGCGTTGAAGGGGATGTTTGTGCAAGCCAAGCAACTCGTGAAATTCTGGAAGCTGAGCAAGACCGACGCCATAATTTGGGTCGTAACGTTCCTAATAGTGACGTTAATTAACATCGACATCGGATTATTAGCGGGATTGCTAGTGTCGCTCGTCATTATTTTACTGCAAACTATTCGATCTTATACATGTCTGCTAGGCCACATACCACATACAGATTTGTACTTGGATTTGGACAGATATAAAGCGGTAAGTTTTTAGCGATAGAAAGGTACAACAGAAAGGTAAAACAGAATTAGAAGAACTTTTTAAGAATTAGAAGAACATACATCGTCGTGTAAAAGCTAATACTATTCTGTAAATTACTCACCGATTATACGACAAGATGAATAGAATTTGAAATTTTGTTTGAAACGAGATAGTCATTTCTTTGTTATATATATCCTATTTTTCTTTTATTCAATCTTTTTCCAGGCAAAGGAGATTCAAGGGGTCAAGATATTTCGCTACAGCGGCACCCTAAACTTTGCAAATAACAGCCACTTCAAATCCGTTGTGTATAAATTAATAGGAATATGTCCACAGGAAATGATTAAACGCAGGAAGAAACTAGCGGAAGAGAGTCGTTTCTTAGAGAACAAAGATGTCAGTGAACATGAATTTCAATGCATCATCATGGATATGAGTGCGTTGAATTACGTCGATCCTAGTAGCGTTCATGTGTTGCACGTAATCGTAGAAGAGTTTGCACAGGTGAACATCGAGTTCTACTTTGTCAATTGCCTCGGTCCTGTTTTCGAAATGATAAATAAATGCGACACTTATATATACGGTGCAATATCGTTAAAGATTTTCGCAACTGTGCAGGATGCCATCGTTCATTTCCAAATGAGCAATGAGGTTGCCGCAAGATAACACCCGAGAACATCTGTTTTTTTTATTTGTTTCATCACGTGTACGCTATATTTTTGATAATCATGTTAACGTGCAATAGGCAGAAAGGAACGAACAGTTGTTGTACTTTGCGCTGTTATTGCTCTTCCTTTTACCTTTAAGAGTATTCCTTATATAAAGAGATATACGTAAGAGATATTTTCCAATCAATGCCAAAAAATTTCACGGCGCGTTATGAAGAATGATCGATTTATATTGTATAGTTGTGTGCTGCAATTTGCGACTTCGATTAAGTACAACTTTTTAGGAAATTAGGAATTTAGAAACAATTTGTTTGCAATTCCAATTTTACATTGTGAACAATTGGAGAGAAGTCGCTAATTGTTGGATGTTTGATGTACGTTAATACTTAGAGACTGTATTGAAAACAAAGTGATAAAAATGTACTTCATAATTTATAAACTTTCCTACGGATGAATATATATAATTGTTCTATTGGTTTTAATCATGTCGTTTTATTAATTAGCTTTTAAAAGATCTTATGCTACTGTTGATTAAAAAGACTCGAAATTGTGGTGTACTTACGTCGTATAATTATAAGAAAACCTAATGGGAGGAGAGATATCGTTAACCTCGGGTTTACAACTCTGTTTTAAAACATAAGCGGTGAAACAAGTTAACGAACCACAGTCAATTGTTCTTACATTTGTTATTGTTTACGTCTTAAAATAAGATTGTGGACTCGGGGTAAGAATTACAATGATATAATCGAGCAATCGACCTGTTTATTTACAGCGATCGCTCTATGTACAAAGTAACAGTTTTCAGGTTATACCTTACGTAACCGTCATCGCTGAATTAAGTTAATTTTTCTGTGCCTTTAAATTATAGAGTCGGCAATAATATCCCTATATGTGCCTGTTTGTAAGACACAATAGTTCTTTTTTCTGTTCTCTAATTCTGCGGCAGTGTCGCCTCTCATTGATGGTGTGTATATCATATTGCAGAATAAATACTAATAAAAAAAAAGTTGCAGGACATCATTCAACGATGTGCATGCGACCTGAAGGTAATTGATATTACTTTTTGTTTTTTTTTCCTAACCGAACCGAACGACAAAAATCCGATCGGTGAAACAAACTTGATGAGGCGAGTCGTATTGCATTTACGCAAGACCGTATTTCTTCTTGAGAGATTCCGGCATCTCAGGTGGTGGCGGACGGGGCATACGCAACCAGACCTTTACGGCGTCGTAGATGAACCACTGCGCGGCGGTGAGCGTACCGATCATGACGATTCTCGGCCCTAGACCCCTCCATACGCCGGCGAAGCCTAGCTTCTTCAGAACTTCGCCCGCAGATGCACCTTTCTCTTGATTTAACTTGGACACCACCTGTGCGCGAAAGAAATTCGTGTGTACACAAAAGTAAAATGAACAAAAGTGTAAATAAGATGAGAAAGAATCATGCAAAAGAGAAAATGAAATAGCAAAGCTTTATTAAAAAAGAGAGAAAGATCAAAGTAATACTGGTAACTACAAAAGAACTATCAATTTGCAAAATTGTTCGATGATTATATAAAATATACTTGTTTGCCAGACACTTTAAACCGATGCATTTCATTCAAGACTTATCAGACGTCCAGTAAAAGAACCAATTTTATGAGAATTATTAAAAAATAAATGCTCTCCTTTCCAATTGAAAAAGCTAAAGATTCCTTTTTGTCTCAACGTTAAAAAAATATACTTGTTATTGAAACGTTATACACTCAAACGGCAAAAAGTGCAATCTAGTTCGGCTGGAAAGAACAGCTGGAAGAAGCTTAACGTCAATCAATTCGAAAATAAAGAATTTGATCGAGCGGCAAATATAAACAAATGAATAAAGATTTACCGAATCGGCAGGGTGAGACACGATGGCGCAGAACACACCGGCGATGTATCCGGCCGCGAAAGTGACCACTAATTGTTCAGCTTTACTGCATTCATTTCTAGGTTTGGGTACTACGTATTTATACAAGAGTTCAACCGTGCGCTCGAAGCAGGCGAACTTCATCATCGTGTACGGGATCTGGCGCAACCACAGCGGCACCAAGCCCTTGTAGAAGCCGGTCAGACCCTCATCCGCGTACATTTTCGGCAATGCTTCTCGTAGGGTGTTTGCGTACCCCGGCATAGTTTGTATCCTGACCTATATAAAAAAAGATAAATTTAGTGTAGCAATTTGAGTTGCGAATATATGTGAAACAACAATAATTATCGCTGCAATAATTATCTCCTTTTTTTATTATACAAGATGTTCTATTTTAATCAACATATTTTAATATCTCTTAAACTGATTGAGATATCGAGCTTTTTTTTTTCAAAGTTGTGAGTGATATGTGAGGGGGATATATTATAATAAAAATAAAAAAGAAATTGACCTTGGACTACTCCATCAAGATTATGTCACAAGGTCACATTGAACTTTTTCAATAAAATGTGGCTTTTTGAACACTAATTGATTTTGTAGGTCATTTTTTATATATAATAGTATACTGAATTGCTAGTTCTCATAGGGGAAAAAGCTATATATATATATAAAAGTACAAAGATTGAAAAGTATGTATAATGTATAATTTACAATATAAATATATATATATATATATGTATATATAGGGTAAGCGTCCTATAAAACGTATTAAAATCAGCTAAATATTAACTTCCATGAACAGATGAGTACAAAATGTGAAATATAGTCCATTTTATGAAAGATGCCACTCTAGTTTTCATGGAAATATATTTTAAGAGTCATTAGATTTAATTAGTATATCTGAATGGATATTTTAGAAACAAACTTCAATAACAAGTAGCTTGTTACCTTGGCAGCTTCAAACGGCGCTAGACCGATGTCTGCGAAGAATTCCGCGGAGGCCGATGATATCAAGTATAGAGTAGTTCTGTATTCATAAGACAGTTCCTCGCCGGCTAACGCCGAGTAGTAAACTTTGAAAACTTCATAGAGTCCGAATTTAAACATTCCTTGAACGGAATAGCCAAGGAAGGTGGGTGCCCAACCTCTTACCAATCCGCGGGTACCATCTTCGGCGTGTGTAATCTAAGATAAGTGCAAACGATAAGCATATTCTATAGAAAAACTCATCAATGGAGAGAGAACAAATGACAAAGATAATTACACGAAATCCATGGAACACTGATCTATATTTCTTCGAGTCCACTTGGATTCGACATTTGACTAAATCTAAGGGAGTGATCATGGTGTGAGTGATGCCGCATGACAAAATGCCACCGAGACCGCATAGCAGGAAGTAGTGGTTGGATCCAAACTCGCAACTGTCTGCGAATATATAAGATGATTGCTGTTATTTAAACAGTTGCAAAACAACAAATTCCATTTGGTTTCTGCCACCAGCTCGCTATCATATTCTGTATGTTCCAAAATATACTGACAGTGCTAAAAATCTATAGTATACATGACATAAAATATACATCTTCACTATTGTCAGCATATTTTGTAACTTATCTCTACTACCTCTCTGATCACAGATTTCGTCATATTTCTCGTAGCACAAGCTACAGATAAAATTTTATACTGGAACATCATGCAAGATCTATTCCTGCAGGTTTGGCTATCCGAGGTGGAGATGTAACATCGCGAATCGACGCATTCGGACGGTTCAAAGATCGATCTAAAATTTGTACGAAGTAATCACATTTAAGAAAGTTAAAGCGATTTACACATAGTAAAACGCGAGTGATAAAATTTAAGCATGTGACGAATGCGTTCAAAAATGATCGACATAATACTATGATATCGAAATTCTCGATTGGCCAATTCGTTCACTGCTTAGATTTTTTTTCGTGAGCTATAATACTCAATTCTTAAAGAGTGGAAACATTAATTTTTTGTTGTACAATGGTATCTGAAGGACGTCATTCGATCAGCTAATTGATCCGTACGCGCGAGATGCCTTTCCTTGGCACGAGTTCAAAATTTCAACCGATCCTGTGTCGCTATCTCTCGCCCTACTTGATCTATAAAAAAAGAAAGAACGTCCCGCGCGCACACGACGACCTTGCTGCTGCCATTTCTCGGTCATGGTCAACGTACACGGAGAAGTAACAATAGTTAACGTGCGGCATTATTTTTACTTTAGTCGTCTATCCAAGGTCTATGTGGACGCACGTTCTTACAACGCACCCTGTATATTTTTACAAGATGGCTACACGTCTTATGCAACCTCGTAGCATGCATGCGCTTGTTCAAATCCACGGATTAAGTCCACGATTCGTTGAAGCTCCGGCATGACAAAACGTCACCGGGTATTATGAATTACATAATATTACGCGATTGAGATTCGACGACGAATATGAATAAATCGCGCGCATGTGATCGAATTTTGACGCCTGTTCGAATTTTGAATAGAATGTTGCGGCATGCGCTACGGGCGTACAATCTCTCCCTCCTCTTTTTTTTCCAAAGTTACATAATTAATATATTATATCGATCATGTGACAGATCTGCAACAAGAGTAACAGAAGAATGTGTTTAACAATCAACAAATATCATTAAATCATCTACCATCTCCGAGCATCACACGATCACGTGAAAATATCAAAGAACGATCGCAGAAAATATTCGAATCCGGAGTCAGAGAGAATCTTGACAGTACCTCGTGTCACGTTCAATCATATTTCGGGTTATGTAATGCAATAGCAAAGGAGATATGGATAAAGCACGCTGGGTCGACATACGGACGAAACTTCTCGTGTGATTATGTGACAGAAACGAACGATTACTCGTGATTCGCGAACGTGTGCCCTTCTCTGCGACAGAGAAACAGCACCGAGAGCAAGTATAACCTCTCACAAGCTTGCGGTGTTGGGAGAATCGTTTAATCTCAACCACTCGCTTTCGAAGAAACGGCGATAAGTTCGATCGAATCAACTGTTTTTGGGTACTATTTGCTCGCTTGCTTACTGACCACCTTCTTCGATGGAAGCGGCCGCAATGTTCCGGTGCGGTATGAGTGGCCGAGCACCTCTGTCCTCTAGGCCCTGACATTTGGCGGTCGTGAAAGGCGACGCGAACGGATTCATTTTCATCGTCTCCTGCACCCAAGACAACATTCTGACCACTCGCGTTTACAATACCTGAACAGAAACTTTTGTCAGTGACAGTTCGACAGTATCGATGGGTCACAATCGTTGAAACGTCAAAGAACGTTTTACACGGCACCTACTGTGTTAGACGACTCTCGCGGATCTCGCCACTGCTATGCCGACGCACGCCGAGAAATCCGTGAAAGAGTGGCAGAGGATATCGCAACGCAACCCGTTTAAGCGATATCAGCATAGAGTCACTGCATTATAGATGTGAAACGAGTTCGTAGTGTTTTGTACGGATCTGTGAATCCGGCATAAAATCATGTATCCCCTAGCCAACTTCGGTCGCGCGGCAACTTCCGCCACGTTTCGCCGTGTGAAACCGGCCGTCCAGAGGCGCGTTCTGTTTCACATAATGCGCGCATTTATCTATAGTTTATGTCACGTATACTGTAAAAAATGCGCGCATATGCGTGAAATGGAACGCACCTCAGATCTTCAACTTGAGCCTCAAAAATTTAAAGGTTATATTCGCAAGCTGATCGAGAGAAATGATTTTTTCCGCTATCTCGGAAAAAGTTTTGACGACGCTCGTCGTCGGGAGATTTTATACATCTGTTTTTCGAATGATTAGTAAAAGTTCCGTCGAAAACTCGACAGAGAGTAATGTAGCAATTGAAGATGACATGGTGCGTTAAGTATAATTTGTGTTTATCTCTTCTATTGCTTGTAAACAAAGATATATTTGTACGTGAAATCCTGCTTATTTGTACATGTCACTGTCAATATTCCAATTATTAAATATTGAATCATTTTCAACTCATGAATAAACTAACTGATAGTATATATAGTAAGTTAGAACAATTTTTATATCTGACATTTGATATGTACATTAAACTACTAATATATATATAAATATTGGTGAACATTTTTCTGTATTTGCAGCCCGTACAATTGGAGAACCCCTATGTAAGAGAGAAACAACAGTGTATTCTATGCAAATTAAATATTGAGCCAGATTACAAGAATGTGCGATTACTTTCGCAGTTTCAAAGTCGCTATACTGGCAGGATATATGAAAAGCATATCACTGGATTGTGCGAATACAAACAGAAGCGAGTACAAGAAGAGATTACAAAGGCTCAATGTGCAGGTGTGTATAATATACAAATTTATTTATCGAACAGTAACTGTACTGAGTTTTTTTTTACATTACAGGCTTGATGGGTTTTATGAGTAAGAAGCCAGAATACGTCAAAGATCCACAGTTGTTTGATCCGAATCATCCCTTTAAACCACATCCATTTTAGATGAATATTGGTTATGTGCATAAATATATTTATATTTGTACATGTATATGTACATGTATACATACAATATTAAAAGCAAATTAGGAAGTTTAGAATCAGTTGTTTTTTTCAAACCTTTTAGATTTTTTATAATTATAATAAAAGCTTTTATGTGTATAGAAAATCAGTAACTAGTCATAATAAAATTCATGATAAATTCCATAAGGAAGTCATAAGAAAATTAAGTATAGATGAGATGAGTATACGTCAGCATGTCGAACGGGTAAATGATAAAGTTTATGGGCTTGTAAATATTGGGAATAATATCGATGATGAAAGAATAGGTTACGCAAGAGAAGCTCTCGTGTTCATGTTAGTGGCTATAAATGAATCTTGGAAAGTTCCATTGGGGTATTTCTTTGTAAATAGTTTGGGCAGCGAAAGAAAAGTGTATTTGGTAAATCATTGTCTGCAATTACTACACGACTGTCGGATTACAGTTACAAACATTACTTTTGACTGTTGTCCTACAAATTTAACTATGGCAAGAATTCTTGGATATACACTTGACTTTAAATATTTTAAGTCAGATCACAGTGCTAAAAAATATGTGCTCATTTTACAGACAAAAATAAAAAATATAAATCCTACATTTATTTTTCTGGATCCTTTACATATAATAAAATTAATACGCAGCACTTTTGCAGAAAAAGAAATCCTGTTAGATTCCAATAATGAGGAAATTAATTTTTATTATGTTAAAAAATGAACTGTAGGAACAAGGATTGAATTTATGTAATAAACTAAGTAGACGCCATATCGACTTCTTTAAGCAAAAAATGAAAGTGAAATTGGCTACTCAATTATTAAGTAAATCTGTTGCGGAAGCTTTAACATTTTGTTCCACAATATTAAAATTGGAAGATTTTATTAATACTGGTCCTATAATTAAATTTATTACAATAATGAATGATACTATTCTAAATTCCAGGAAAATTTCTGATTATAATTACAAACAAGCATTGTGTGAGAAAAATATTGAAAAGTTAAAAGAATTTTTTGCATTTCTAATTATACTGATTATATATGTACATTAAAAGACCACAATGGAACTTTCATTTTAAAGTCTAACAGAAAGACAGAGTTTTTATGCATGTTAGCGTCTACGAAAAGTTTGCTTTGCATGTATGAATCGTTTCTGCATAAAAACATAAGTTTTATACCAGCATACAAATTGTCACAAGATCATCTAGAGTTATTTTTTGGGTCCATTAGATCCTGCGGTGGATGTAATAACAATTCAACTTATAGACAATTAATTTCTGCTTACAAGAAAATATTAATTCATGCTGAAATTCGAGAACACGGAATGGGCAATTGTATACCCTTGCAACATATGAACATCTTAAAGTGTAGCTCTACATGGAATAGGAAAACGGATGATACTAACAAACACGTTTTAACTGAAAAATTAATGGATTTAGAAGAAAAAACATAAATTTCGACCATGACTATGTATATCATACTAATTTATCGCAATATTCGAAAGAAATTGTCATTTATATTAGTGGTTTTATTACGAAAAAATTATTTTCTACAATTAAGTGCGCAGATTGTTCCTCGGCGATTGTCGGAACTAAAGATAACTTAGAAAATACGTTTTTAGAACTTAAGAATAAGGGAGGTTTAACGTTTCTTAGCGATGATTTAATATATATTTGTATGGATTGTGAAGTAATGCTACGTACTTATTCATCTCATGAGCTTTACACAGCATCTATAAAAGAGCAATTAGAACAAAATATTTTACGTTAATTCCTTAATAAAGAAATATTTTTAGAATTATTTATTATTCATAAGCAACAAAGTATTGAAGAGCATGTGATTAATTTAATTACGATAACTATTGCGGAATATTATAAATTACGCATGCATTATAGTAAACGTGCAATTAATGAAACTAACCAAAGTTATGTTAGATCATTTTATAACAAATTAATATTGTTTAAGGGGCAATAAATAGTTATTAAAATAATCTAATCAGTTTTATTTTGCTTTAGAACATATAACATGCAATTGGATGTATAGCGGGATAGACATGAGGAGATTCTCAATATATCTTGATAATAATAAAAAAAGTGGGGTCATTACTGAAAATTGAATTATGCCGTACAGAAATTACACAATTGCTTCTGCTATATTTTGCATAATATCATGTTTTAATAAACACCAATAGAACATCATAATTTCCCATTAAACAATGTAACTACAATATAACACACCTCCCAGACAGCATATATGTCCAAAACTGGGACATAAGACGTCTTTTAGACATCTTTGTCGTCTTTAAGATGTCTGAAAATAAGACATCTTTAAGTCGTCTTAAAGACGTCTTATGTCCCAGTTTTGGACATTGTGCTGTCTGGGCTGTTACATTGCATTTATATTATGGAGTGAAAAATTATAATATTAGTATTATGCAGTTGTCTATAAACAAATTTATATTATATATATTTCCTTATTATAATATATATATTTTTACAATTTATTTATAATCTATATATATATATATTTATAATTTTTTGTAATTTGTTACATTAATATTATTACTATCTAATATTACCCAATACCTAATAAATAACTAAACGCGTGCATAAATATATTTGTAACAAACATATGTTACATTAATTATTCCTATTCTTTCATTGCACAAAAGCTGTAAATATAAAATGAAATTACCGGGTTACTAAATTTTCTTATAAGAGTTAAAAATTTATAGTAAAAGATATATTTTATAGCATTCAATGTCTTATCTTTATTTAAGCATGCACATTTTGTAAATATATATGTCAGCGCATACGCACATACACATATTTACATAATTATAAACAAAATTTTAAGGTTTCTATTATAAATTTGACAAAATTCATAACCGTACAATAAGCATATATCAAAAACTTCTTTCACATTATTGTATGTTTTACATTTTTAAACAAGGTTATATTCTTTTATTCAAAGTATATCGCTATTGCTTTGCTTCCGGTAATGTCTACTATGACGTAGTTACGTCACAAAACTACACCTATTTCGATTATCGATATTTCACCATATATCGCAAAATGCTCCTTCCTTATATTCTTTATTCAATGCCTTAAATTCATGAGGGATTGCAGTTTGTCTTCTTCTTTCGGGCATATATGGAATTAGATCTTGATATATTTGCATTGCTGCCTCTCGAGATAACCTACAAATATATCCAATAATATATTACCATATAATATATATTAAAATACGTATATATGTATGTGTGCTTAATAATAAATATTATAGATACATAAATTTATAGAAATAATAAAATAAATTACAATAATATAATAATAATTATTATTACCTTTATAATTCTTGAAATTGTTTTTCTGGGATATCAAATACAGATCTTAAGTATTCCTTAAAATTTTACGTATAATATGAAGTGTATTATCGTTTCTCTCGTTTTCTTCATGATTAATAACCCACCATGCAGCAGCTATTAACTTAGTTTTCATGTGAAATATTAATTCGCATGAAATTGTTCACTTTTTCGCTTTACGTGAGAATTTTCATTTTTTATGAATTCATCCTAGGGGAAAAGATATATGATTGACCCTCAGATCCATCAAAATCTTCGGCCCCGAAAATAAAATTTGAAATAAAGGGAAATATATTTGAAGTTAAATTCAATACTAGCGAGAATATTATTATTTTTAAACCTAACAGTAACCCACTTCCAAAGGTAACAGATTCAAATAATAAAGATTTGGACAAGAATAACGCTGATCCGAAGTAAACCAAACTTTGCTTTGACTATAGAAATATGAACTGTTAGTATCCCATTTTTCTCATTTATCGGGTAACGCGACAGTTTCCCGAAAAATGGCGAACACAAGGTTGGTATCAACGAAAACTTCTAGACGACATAATTTTAATTCCTAAAAGTTAGTAATATTGTTTAAGTGATAAGCTGTTAGTTTGCGCAAACTTTTTGACAGATGTACGCATGTGTGTCACAAATATCATGTATCGTCAAATTATAAATGTAAAATACTTTATAATATTAAATAAAAATGACATAAGTGAAAACATAAAGTGCGTATAACAAAATAAATGAGACGAGTGAGAACATAAAGTCAATAAAGTAAAAAACATAATAAACAAATAAATATATATATATATATTATATATATATATATGTGTGTACATGCATATATATGCATGTATAACTAGATAAATAATTATTAAATGTAAATAAATAATTTAAGTTTTTCAGTGTTTTGGCATGCTTCAGTAAATTATCGGTCATGGTTGTGACTTGGTTCTTCGCATTGGCATAAGTTTTCCACTATTGCAATAAAGAAATACATATCAGATAAGTAATTAATATTCACATAAAATAAAAGATTAAGTATCTATGTATAGTCAATAATGATAGATGTTGAACCCATTCTTTCTTTCGATTAATATTTTGTTTCAGCTTCCCAGCTATCCAAGTTCTTGCAGAATATTAATAGTTGGAGGCCACTTTCCTGTGAAGTAAGATTACCAAAGTCTGAGGTTACTGTGTCCTTGAATGCGTCCCAGTAAGCAAAAGTTGAATCACATCCTAACGTCAAATATCAGAGTAAGATGTGTTACTAGCAGTGTGATGACAAATTAATGCATCAAACTAAGAATAAGTTCGTAACATTGATGTTTACTGTCATATCATCAATGCATTTGACAGCTGTACTCGAAATTTTTTATCACTTTATCATGTAACATACTGACTGATATATTCTTCTTATCTTTTAGGAAACAGGATGTTTTGCCTATGTTTGCCTCTGCAAATTAGGTTATTGTGATTTACGGTCAAGAATGATGAACTTTTTCCCAAAAATTGAGGATCAGTCCTTAAAAAAGACAACTACAGTAAAATGAAAAATAAAAATCATATAAATGGAAGATGCAAGAGTCACGAGAAGTCAAGAATCACAAAGAAAATAGAAAGTAAGAACATGTTATGTTATGCGTTTATTTCCTTTTTTCCTATTAATTTTGATAGTTCGTACGAAATTAATAGTAAATCTAAATCTTTGCTTTCATCAATTTTGGCCCAAATGTCTTGTAATCGGATCTTGCCCAAAATGTTGGATTCTTCATCATGTTATGAACGTTTCTCTGATGTTGTGTTAAATTTTCTGTAATATATAATATTAAATTGTAAGAATGCTAAAAATATTCTGGCAATAAATGCAATAGAATGGTTAATAATATACCTAAAAATGTAATGATTGTTGAATGTTTACAAAGACTTTCCTTCAGTTCTCTATTATGTCGCTCACTTATATTGTTTGTTTTATGTAATCAATATTAATATTCTGCACGAACTTGGATAGCTGGGAAGCTGAAACAAAAAATTAATCGAAAGAAAGAATCGGTTCAACATCTATCATTACTGACTATACATAGATACTTAATCTTTTATTTTATATGAATATTAATTACTTATCTGATATGTATTTCTTTATTGCAATAGTGGAAAACTTATGCCAATGCAAAGAACCAAGTCACAACCATGACCGATAATTTACTGAAGCATGCCAAAACACTGAAAAACTTAAATTATTTATTTACATTTAATAATTATTTATCTAGTTATACATGCATATATATGCATGTACACACACATATATATATAATATATATATATATATTTATTTGTTTATTATGTTTTTTACTTTATTGACTTTATGTTCTCACTCGTCTCATTTATTTTGTTATACGCACTTTATGTTTTCACTTATGTCATTTTTATTTAATATTATAAAGTATTTTACATTTATAATTTGACGATACATGATATTTGTGACACACGTACGTACATCTGTCAAAAAGTTCGCGCAGACTAACAGCTTATCACTTAAACAATATTACTAACCTTTAGGAATTAAAACTATGTCGTCTAGGAGTTTCCGTTGATACCAACCTTGTCTCCGCCATTTTTCGGGAAACTGTCGCGTTACCATTTATCGCTGTGTTGAAAAATGTATCCAACATCTTCGATAGTTGTCGAGATTTAAGCTAAGACTCCATGCATGCGGTGAGCTCCGGCAAACGGCTGCGGTGACCAATCAGGAGACAGACGCATGCCGGAGCTTGCCGCAACCGGACTTGTGCCTCCCTCCTGATTGGTCATCGCAGCATTTGCCGCAGCTCACCGCATGCATGGAGTCTTAGCTTTAAGCTCAGCTCCATCGACCAAAGACCGGGAAATTTAAATGTATCTTAAGATGTATCTATCATAATAAAAGACATTTTATAGTCTATATATCATAAATGCAATATAAATAATGATTTTAGTTAATTTAGTCGATTTTATTAGATTATGAAGTGATAAATTACATAATAATTATAATATGTAAAGAGAAGTTTGAAGTGAATAAATGCAATATAATACAAAATATCCAACAATAAAGAAGAATATACGTATATTAAAATATATATTAAATTTGGGACATAAATACTGTCTTTTAATAAATGTAATTTAACAAACGCAAACATAATTAAGACTAACAAAAAATAATACAATTTAACAAATGCAAGCATAATTAAGGTGAAATAAATATAAATGTTAAAAATAATATTTAAACATTATGTAACAAAACTTAATATAACAACACTTAACGTAACAAAACATAACAAAACTTACTGACCTTTAAAAAGAATAAGTTTTTGTTAATATTGAATAGTTTTTGTTAAATCATGCCTGGGCCTCAATTCTGTACACGCTTACCGACAACTATCGATATCGTTAACGGAGTTGCGCAGGTTTTCTACGATATACAAAAGCTGCGCAATACAGTTAACGACATCGATAGTTGTCGGTAAGCGTGTACAGAATTGAGGCCCTGTACCGCGATTCTGTAACTCGTTATTGGAGTTAACGACAGTTTCGTTATTGTTGCGCAGCTTTTCTACGGTCGGTCGCAAGGGGGGGAGTAGGGGGGCGGCGAAACGCCTTCCCTACCTTCCCCCCCGAGCGACCGGACAAGTAAGGACAGGGGGGAGCGGTGCCGCGGTTGGGGCCGGGCCCGCTCCCCTACAAATCCTCCCCTCCCTGACTAGCAGGGAGGGGGGAAGGAGGGGGGGTGGATGTCCTCTCCCTCCTTGACAGGAGACACCAGAAGGCCAACCGGCGGGGGGTAACCCTCGTCGGGGACCGCGCCCTGGATTCTCTTCGTGGAACAGGGCGCGGTACACAGGTGGCGAGGGGCTCCCGGAAGGGAGCCCTGGGACCGGGGGGCTGGGGAGGGAATACGGGAGTAGTTCCCCCGACTCCCCTCCTCACGGTCCGACAGGTAGACATCTCGCAGGGGTTTTAGTCGGTAAGAGTCCGACATAACCCCCTTCCCCCCCAAGGGGAGGGGGTATCCATGATGGATTTCCCCTGCGTGACCAAAAAAAAAAAAAGCTTTTCTACGGTATACAAAAGCTGCGCAACGATAACGAAAGTGTCGTTAACTCCAATAACGAGTTACAGAATCGCGGTACTGGAGCGCTATTCTGTACACGTGTACCGACAATTGTCGGTGTCGTTAATGCTCCCTACCGACATTTGTCGGTTAGAGCTATTCTGTACAGCTCCTCACCGACGCGCGTCGTTAAAAATGAACGACAAGTATCGGTCGTAAACGATAATCCTACCAAGGGGTCCCTTGGCCATCGGTAGCGCTTGACCGACGCACACTGACGAGATTATCGTCGGTTTATGTGATTATGTTAGTGAATTCGCGATTTGAGGTAGTGATACTGCACACATTGCGATTTCACATATTTATAAAATTTTTGTTTAGTTTATTACGTTTCTGTTGGTATAAAATATATTAGTGTGTGTGTGCTGTAAATTGTAACTCAAAAATGTGCAAGTAAGTAAATTTAATTAAATTCTCGTAAAATTTAGTCAGTGGAGTTAACCTTCAATTCGTATTGCGGTCTTTACACGGCAGCAGGAAATAAAAAATAGTATTAGAATAGTATATAATATGTACAAAACCTTATCCTTTTACCCTAAGTAATGAATGTACAATCTATTATTGTTCATGACTTAGGTTAAAAATATATCCTAAAATATATTAAGGACGAAAATAGTTCGCTACGAACTGAAGGTTAACAAGTGATATTAATTAGAGTTTTTCTTTCGCATTTTTTGCGTAATTCTTTTAACTCATTTACACGTCGAAAAGAATAAATTTGTCTATACTTATAGGGTAACGGTCAATTACTGCCATTTTCTTTAATTGTAGTATTACAATAAAAAATATGAGCATTATACCCAGTAAACACAATGTTACATGTAACATTGTAACTGGATAGTTACACTAATATATCCTAGTAGATTTAATGGGATATATTTAAAATATTTTAATATTAAACCAAGATTTTAAATATATAACGCTGTCATATTTTTTATTTTAATACTATAATTAAAGAAAATGGCAGTAATTAGGACATTGGCAGTAATTGGGACCGTTACTCTAGTGTTTTATTTATATCGTCGGCAAAATTAGAAAACCTCCTAACTCCAATTTTTTATGAAATTGAAATATTCCCAGCAAACACAATGTTACATGTAATGTACATATTAGTTGTAATTTCCTACTCAATAATATAACTGTTATACAGGGTGCACGATTTATCTGAAGACATTGAAATATCTCGAGAACTATGCATTGGATAAAAAAAGGTGGTTAATAAAAGTTGTTAGTCTCGAAGGGGGACATCCAATGATACCAAACTCGACCTCCCACTCCACCCCCTGGAGGTGGGGGTTGGGGGCAACTTTGAAATCTTAAATGGAAACCCCCATTTTTTATTGCAGATACGGATTCTACGCCACAAAATACGTAAATTTTGTCCGAAATTTTTTTTTTTATTCGTGATAGATGGCGTTGTAATCGCAAAAAATTATATTTTCCGCAATTCTCCAGAAATGATCATTGGATTGAGAAATAAAAAATACCTGTTCAATATTTTTAAAGAACATAATAAAAGTTATTTCCCCCCCATCCTCTCGGGGTAGGGTGGGTGATAATGTTCAAATCTCAATTGCACTGCCTTTTATAATAAGCCGTAGGCGTTGCACTGCCTTTTATAATAAGGCATTGCACTGCCTTTTATAATAAGCCGTAATTCGCTATACACCCACAGTGGCGCGTCGAGCAGTTCCCTCTTCGATTCGGGTTCCCATTTGAGATTTGAACGTTATCACCCACCCTACCCCGAGAGGATGGAGGGGAATAACTTTTATTATGTTCTTTAAAAATATTGAATAGGTATTTTTTATTTCTCAATCCAATTATCATTTCTGGAGAATTGCGGAAAATATAATTTTTTGCGATTACAGCGCCATCTATCACGAATAAAAAAAAAGTTTCGGACAAAATTTACGTATTTTGTGGCGTAGAATCCGTATCTGCAATAAAAAATGGGGGTTTCCATTTAAGATTTCAAAGTTGCCCCCAACCCCCACCCCCAGGGGGTGGAGTGGGAGGTCGAGTTTGGTATCATTGGATGTCCCCCTTCGAGACTAACAACTTTTATTAACCACTTTTTTTTATCCAATGCATAGTTCTCGAGATATTTCAATGTCTTCAGATAAATCGTGCACCCTGTATAACATATGTGTTATAACAGTTACATTGTTGAGTAGGAAATTACAACTAACATGTACGTTACATGCAATATTGTATTTGCTGGGTTCATTTCATCCAACTTATCTTATTAAGTTGAATGAAATGAAAATCTCAAATTCGTTAAAAATTGGAATTAGGAGGTTTTCTAATTTTGCCGACGATATGTTATATCCAATAATATAATAATATAATTGTTAAATCCAATAATATTTAATATGAATTTAGTATGGCTGAATACCTCATGTGGGATCTTTTATACCTTGAGAATCGCGTGAGAATGCTACAACGTCGAATAGAAAGAAGAGTCTGGCGTGATACTAATGATCCATTCGAGTTACACGATAATGTTTTCATTAATTTATTTCGCTTGCCACTTGACACTGTGTTGGAATTAGCAGAGATCTTAAGACCAAGGTTACAACGATTACGGCCATATGGAATTTCAGTACAGCGTCAAGTATATGCACATATATTTTATGTGTGTGATTTAATATGAAATTATTACTATTATTTCTATATGTTCAACAAATATTGTTTAATAGGTATTAATAGCTTGAAGCTTTTTATGCTGTTGGCTGCTACCAAGGCCATTGGGGAACAATGGAATCTGGCTGTCAGTTAATCGACTGTAAGCCGTTGTGTAGCAATCGTGACAAATGGAATAAACGACCTATTACTATGACCATGGGTAAAATTTCCTATTACAGCGGAGGATCGACAAGCTGCAAGAGAAAAGTTCCGCACAGCACAACATCCGTTTATAGGTGCTATCGGTGCAATAGATTGCACTTATGTATCGATTCTGGCACCGCAACTTCACGAAGAAGCCTACGTCAATCACTGGGGTGATCACTGTCTCAATGTTCAAGCGGTATATATAAATAAATAGCATAAATGTTAAAATTGGGATAACAATTTTAATTTTATGTATATATGACATTTTTTTGCAGATTTGTGACCCTGATTTAAAAATTCTAAACATTAATGCTCGATATCCTGGGGCACGACATGATGCATATATTTGGGCAAATTGTGCTACTCGTCGTGTCATGGAACGATGGTATATGCAAGGAGAACGCAAGACTTGGCTTATCGGTAATACTATTATTTTTCTCTTATTAAATACTAGGTAAAATATTTCTTCAAAAACTTGTAAAATGTAAAATGGTTGTAAATAATTATTTAAAACAACTGCTTATTAAATATATTCATCATATTGAAAATGTAAAATAAGTAAACTGAATCTAAAGTAAAATCGAAGTGTTATTTTCACAGGTGATGATGGGTATGGACTGGAGCCGTGGTTAATGACTCCATTGAAACACGAGCAGCCAGGAACTCCACGTTTTAATTATAATGAAGAATTATGCAGTAACATTGTTACATTAAATATGTACAATGTAGAATGTAAAGAGCGGGTCTGTGGGATTTGATAAAGGGGATCTTCGTCATCCATCTCAAGTCGTTCAATATTTTCCTACAACAAACAATTATTATAACGTAAATTGTTTCTTTATGTACGTATTATAATTATTTTAAATGGTAAAAGAGATACATTGAACATATATACGTATATCTTCTTCCACGCAACTATCAAGACAATGCGTATTTCCCTCAACATAATCTAAACCAATTGCAGACACTACGCGTTATTCAATGTTCTGCAATGGGGCTCCTTCAGCTGGAAAATTGCCTATGCGTAAGCGCTCAGCTCTTAACTTGCTTGCTTTCCTCGAAGAAACGCTCTTCAGATCCCGCCATACCTAAATATATTAAATATAATAATGTAATATGCAAATCCCAATCAAATGTATCCCAGTAAACTAGTCATATAACAGAAAAGCAATTATATAACATTGATATTAGAATGTCAGCTGAATAAGGGAGAACATTACATAAAATTTATTTAACATGTATCAAGATACTGGGGTTTACTACGAAATTTATACATGTCCGGAAATCAAGGTGGGAAAGTAATTAAAAAAATCTCAATTATTTATATATAGCTTATCGCATTTGCATCATATCTGTTTGCTCTTGGTAAAAATGTCTGGAATATATATTGTGTAAATAACTTAAAATATATCTTACAGTTTGCCACAGCTTGACCGACTTCTTTGGCCCGGGTAGAGAATTTAGCCTTTTACACAGTTCATCCCACTGCATCTGCAGTTGCAGTTTCTCCTCATTTTCGTTAAACCGGCCGGCAGTGAAACGGCTATGCTTTTCCATATAGGATACCAAATCTTCAATTTGCAATGTTGATGCACGCGAAGAACGTTGCTTTTTAACAGTTTAACTACAAAAAATATTACTGTTTATTGATAGTACAATTCTCTTATTAAGTTATCGAATAATATTTATTAGTATTGTAAGATTTAAAAAGAGAGATCGTCTATTTCTCTATTCTTTTCTCTTTCAATCTCTCTCCTTCTTGATCCTCTTCCTTAGTTTGTAAAAAGAGGGATGTTCAGGATGTTAAGGTTCCGAGCGATTAATGTGAACTCTTCTTATTATGAACAAGAATATAAGTATATATATTTTAAATGAACAATAATACAATAGTATCCGACACCGCAATTTATATCAAATATATCTCTTTACAAAGCTTAACGCTCTACGACTTTTTCTTCGACTCGATTCTATTTCTATTATTCGTCTCAACGTTAATTGGCAAAAAGCTAAAGGCAAAAAGCTCCGTCTTTCTCCGTGCGTCTCCTTTTATCCTTTTCTCCATCCGTCGAATCTGATCTCTTAGGACCGGCCTTTCTCCCGTGGCTCCCCCGGAATAGACTGGTGCTGTCATCCCTCGTCTGTATCTTACAGTATACCCACACAGCACAGATGTTTAGGGGACGTCGTAAGGAGATTCTAAAGATGTCCCTATGTCCTACATACATCCTTTGGATATTTTGTGCTGTGTAGGTATTACATTATGTGTATATATATATATATATATATATATGTGTATATATATATATAATGTAATATTTACCCACACAGCATATATATATATATATATATATATATATATATGAATAGCATTAAAAATATATATACATACCTACTTCTACTCTCTGACATGATGCTTTCTCTTGTATCTTCTCTATTTTTCTACACAACTCTATGAATACGGTTATGTTTGTAAAACTTGAAAATCGCGGACTTTCTCATAGACTCGTTACGCGATTGGTCGAATTACGATGTATTCTCACTTTTGTCCGTGACTGTCTCTCGACCATTTGTGACGTCAACCGACGATTGAAATTCGTCGGTTGCACCGATGATTGTCGGTAGTGTCCATATAGAGAATAGGTGTGCATCGTTCTTGTCGGTCACGCAACCGACGTTCGTCGGTAACGACCGATACCAACAATTGTCGGTAGACATGTACAGAATAGCGCTCCTGATGAAAGTATGGTGTATTTTTAATATAGTAGTTTTGCCGTAATGAAACAATTTTATTTTAAAAAATAAAAACAGAATTTATTTTATTAATATAAATTTATGGTTTTCCATAACACTTAACACTTCCATAAATTCATGTGTATGCATATCCAAGTTTATAAATAATATAGATATATTAATATTTCTTAAAGTATTGGAAATCATCTTATGAAAAGCATTGAAACTAGTCAACTGATTATTACATCATATAACATTCAATTTTGTTCGCGAAAAAAATAAGTAACATTATAATCATATTTATAATATTTCATCCTAACACAAAATATAAAAATTAGATTTAAATATTAAATTTTTAACTTACTTATAGCAAGGCACAGAATATTTCTCTGTTTCCTTTTTGCTGTGATATTTGGATGATTTGTAGCCTTGTACAAAATAATAAATAACCATGTTCACGCTTTTTGTTGTATTAATCACGTTAATATCGCGTTAGACCAAGCACTTGATTAATGACAGAATTTTAGTTCTGGGATTCCTCACTTAATCGATAGAGGCGCAACACATCTTGGCTACCAATTTGAAGTTAGCTACTGGCAGTCCATATTTCTATAGTCAAAGAAACTTTGACTATATTCTTCTTTATTGTTGGATATTTTGTATTACATTGCATTTATTCACTCCAAACTTCTCTTTACATATTATAATTATTATGTAATTTATCACTTCATAATCTAATAAAATCGACTAAATTAACTAAAATCATTATTTATATTGCATTTATGATATATAGACTATAAAATGTCTTTTATTATGATAGATACATCTTAAGTTTAATACGTTTAAATTTCCCGGTCGTTGGTCAATGAGGCTAGACATAATTAAATCTCGAAAACTATCGAAGATGTTGGATACATTTTTCAGTACAGCGATAAATGAGAAAAATGGGGTACTGACAGTCCATATTTCTATAGTCAAAGGGTGTATTCAGTATTACAACCGCTTACTGAGCGCTAAGTGAGCTCTTGCATCTGATTGGTATATACCTTTAGATTTAAAAATATAGACCAATCAGATGCAAGGGCTCACTTAGCGCTCAGTGAGCGGTTGTAGTACTGAATGCACCCAAAGAAAGCAAACGAATCTAGACATTGCATGTTTTATGCTTGTCCAGGACGTAACAATCCATATTATTAGTGGAAATCAATATTCAGATGAATTTTTCTTAACCGAATGTAACTAGCAACTAAATTTTTCATTGGTCATCAAAATATCAGTGGCCGCGTTCAGTAGAACAAAATGATCAGTGAGTGCTTAGTGATTATTGTCTGTGATTGGAGCATTCTTTTAGATTCTTCATAGACCCAGAAGTATTTACCAATCAGGAGCGAGAATCACTAAGCGCTCACTGATCACTTTGTTCTGCTGAACGCAACCATTGGTAGAAATGGGCATCAAGCGATCAGCAATTCAAGAAACTGATTGGTTTATATCTGATAATCTAGGCTGCGTTCCAAAATTCACTGCCAGTATTGAAAATCTATAGTATACGTGACACAAATTATGTATTTTCAGTATTGGCAGTGAATTTCGGAACGCAGCCTATGTCAAGATCCAAAGCTGCGAGAATGCAGATGGCGTTTTCGAATAAAAGCGGGAGTTCCCAAATCGATCGATAAGTGTCAAGAAGTCCTATATTCAACAGGATTGCGAATTGTTCTGCAATACGTAGTGAATGCGTTATCAGAGTTGCGAGTTGATTTAGTAAAAATTCGTCGAACAATAATCAATTGATAATAATCGCGACGTGGTGGACTCACAGATCGGCCGGACAACTTGCATAATTTACGTAGCTTGTCGCTCCGCGTATCATTTTTCCTGACACGCAACAAATATATCCCTCCTTCACGCTTCTTTCTCTTTCTCTCTCACACATACATACATCTGATAATGTCAGAGAAGGGTGGTCTGCTTATAAACTGAAGAAAATTCAATGCATCGTAACATACGATATATGTGCAAGAGAGTGGTGTGATGTTTAACATTAATTATTTTATCGATGAGGAGATGGAATATGGTAGTGAAGAAAGTGACAGCGCCGGTCGCCGTATAAGAGGTACGTATTTCCTCAGGATTATTGGTAATATTGGTAATATATGTGTGTATATATATATATATAGTGTAAGGTTATACGACAAAATATACGACGTATTCCAGAAATAAACCGCTGAATTTCGAGAGTTTGTTCTGTTTACTTTGAGAATACAGTAAAATCACAGAGGAATGTTCTTTTTTGTGATTGTAAATCTTCCGTTACCTCTAAAACTGATAAACAAACTGTTTATAGCTCAGAAAGAGAGAACGTTTGCAAACATATGACATATCTTATTCTATTTTAAGACAAACAATGAACAAAATTCCCTTTGAAAGTTTATCCAATAGTTTATAGAGCTTCCTACATACGTACAATATACATTTGCTGATACAAACAAATCTATAATGAATGTAAGAACCAATTTCACTGAATGATAATCAAGCGAGTCTTATCTATACCTATTACTTCTGATTGGAATTTCACATCAAATTTTGTGCTGGAAAAAGAAAGATACAAAATTTAATTGGATCGAAAGATTAATTTACGAATATTATTGGTGCAACCAAAACACAGAATTGTCAAATTAATTGCTTGATTTTTAAAATTAAACCATTTTACAAACCTTCGGTCTAATGAATTAAATACAGATTTTAATAATTGGTTAGGACTGCAAAAGATCTAGGTTACCAGTTTTCTTCAGTGAGATTTTTTATGTTTTTACATATTTTTCTTCCTACTTTGTATCAGAATATCAGATCAAACCTTATAATACCAATAATGAATGAATGTAAACAGATTGTTAAACATGCAGTATGATACAATTGCAGATGTGTCGGATGATAGCTCAGATTCTTTCAGTCTGGATGAAATACCAGTGCCTATTAACAATACATTTGATGTGACATTACCTGCGACTCATTCTGTAAGTATAATGTTTACAACAATTTGAGAAATCTAATATATATATATATAACATTTGACTTAAATCTATGTAACATAGAATGACCTTTTGTAAAAAAAATTATAAATGTATACTTATAGTATCTAGGGCCAAACTTGGAGGAGTTAAGAGGAAGGACAATATTGGATGATGGCATATATATGAATCTACCGCTATTGATTAAACAAACTGTGTTGTTTCCTGGACAAACATTGCCCATGACAATTTTCAACCTGCAGATTATTGACATTCTAAAAAATTGCATAAAGAATGATCGTACTTTTGGTTGTGTGAGTTATGGTAGTCCTGTAATACATCAAATAGGAACAACTGCTGAGATATATGAATATAGAGAGGGATCCGGAAGAAATAGCTTTCATTTGAAAGCCAAAGGCAGACAGCGATTCAAAATATTACGTATTGTTACACCGGTCAGTTTTTTCTTACATCAACGAATTACATATATATTGTGTTATTAAAATATATTCAATTATTGGAATTTATATGTATGTGTGTTTGTGTGTGTGTGTATGTGTGTGTGTGTACACACACAAACAATATTTTATATATATGTATACATATGTATATACATATATATAATATTGAAGGTACAATTAGTTTCTAATATTTGTGCAAAGATATTGGAAATAAATTGTAGATCTTTAATATCCGATATTGTGTAAAAATAGCTATGTACATTGTTTTTATCATAATTTTGCTTATAAGAATTTAATATTGCTTATAATTAGGAACACAATAAAATTTTGGCCAATGTTAAAGTGTTACCAGAGATAACACTTGGGCCACCATTTTTGGACCAACGCTTGGCCTCATTAGATCACTTGAGAGTTTATCCTGATTTGGAGAAGAATGTTAAAAAACAAGAAAGAATAGAAAATTTAGATGCAGTAATAACTCCTTGGCCAGCTTGGGTCTATAGGCAATACGACCCTGCAAGACTTTCCATGAAAATACGTCAACATTTGCAGTTTCTTGAAATTAGTGAGTTATGATTATAATTAGAATATATTAGAAGAAATTGCATATATTCGAAATTAATTTGTGATTTTCAGTAAACATGAATTTGTCTATCTTCCAAAATTGTTTGCATTGATTTACAATTTATTTGAATTTTTTTTCTACATCGTAGGGGGAGGTAATGTACCTAAAGATCCTATCGGTTTATCCTTCTGGGTCGCAGAGAATATTTTGATAAATCACAATGAAAGACTCGAGTTACTACGTTATGATTGTGCTATTACTCGTTTGCAACGAGAGATAAAGTATCTCATAGAGGTATGAAATTTACGATGAAGTTACTTAAGGTATTTCATATTTTAAGTAACTTTATCGTAATGAGATTAAGTCAATGAAACTTTGTCAACTCTGTTGAAATGTTATAGTTACATTTTATTAATATAACTCTGATGTGAGTTTCGTTTGCATAGGATAAAATATATGTGTGTGTCCAATGTGAGACTCTCATCGGTAGACAGTCACATATGTTCCCGATGAATAGGGAAGGCCCACAAGGTACTTACGTCAATCCTGAGGGTGTTATACACGAAACTATAACCTTTTATCACGTACAAGGAGTTGCGCTTAGCAGTTCTTCACCTTCGACCAATTACAGTTGGTTCCCAGGGTAAAATATATAATATATTATTTTATCAGCGTATATTTTTTTAACAGTTAAACATGTGTCTCATCCTAATTCTGATAATGGCGTTTATTTAGATATGCTTGGACAGTGGCAATTTGCAAACGTTGCAGTCAACATGTCGGTTGGAAGTTCACCGCGACGGACAGTAATTTAAGGCCCAAGGTTTTTTGGGGTGTGACACGTAGAAGTTTGAAAGATAAGGACATAAGAATTAAAAAGAAGGATTAAAGAGTATTAATGTACAAACAATCCTTATAGATAAAATATAGCTGTTATGTTATCAATAGTTGTATAAGTTACAATACAGAGATTTTTGTGTATATTCCAACTGTCGATTGACACTGTTGTGGATTGAAATCTATTCTAACTCCGCTATTATGTTTTATTATAAAGTTTTCTGAATGCAGACTGTAAAACTAAAAGATAATCAACGCATTTCTATTATCCTTTTTCATATCAGTTAATTTGTTATTCTGGTTTTCATTGATATATACATACATATATGCATATACATACCTACGAACATATATATACATACATACACATATACAGAGTGTCTTAGAACTTTGGGACACGGGCTCCGTAGGGACATAGAGCTAAGTGAGAGGAACAAAAAAGTCCTGTACCATAATGTGAAAATCGTAATAGTTTTTTAGTAATAACAGCCTAAAGTTAGGCATTTTCCACGCCTAGCACAGCCTATAGACGCTCCGCGGCAAGCTGTATGTGTAGGGGCTGAGCGATAACGCGGCTCGCGCTGACCGCGGCGTCAAAGCGCCAAGACGCCATCGCGACAGTCAGCGCGAGCCGCATTATCGCTCAGCCTCTACGCATACAGCTTGCCGCGGAGCATCTATAGGCCGCGCTGGGAAAACGCCTAACTTTAGGTTGTTATTACTAAAAAACTATTACGATTTTCACATTATGGTAGAGGATTTTTTTGTTCCTCTCACTTAGCTCTATGTCCCTACGGAGCCCGTGTCCCAAAGTTCTGAGATACCCTGTATATGTATGTACGTATGTGTATATATGTATGTATAAACACACACACATACACACACATATATGTATAAAGATTATTAATATAATTATAATTTAACATATATATTACTAGCTGATATAAAAGTGTCTCTTAAACTTTGTACATAAGCACCTCAACGCTAATAGAATTTTTCTTTTGTTTTATACAAGATGTCCGGGATCTTTTGGAAAATTGAGAAGAAAAATCAAATACCATTTTGCAAAAGTCGCAATAGTTATTAAATTATTAATGATTGAATATGACCACATCTAGAAACTTTTAATTGATAACTTGAAAATTTGCGTACTTATTTGCAAAATGGTAAAAGAGCCTCTAGATGTGATTATTTTCAATCATTAATAATTTACCAACTATTGCGATTTTTGTAAAATGGTATGTGACTTTTCTTCTTCATTTGATCTGATTAATCTTCACAATTTTTTATTTCCGGAAGATTCCGGATACCCTGTATAATTGTAATAAGAAAAAAGTGAAAACTATGTATACACACACACACACACACACACACACACACACACACATATATATACACCATTTGAGTTTCCTATATCTAGAAAGAGAATATGAAATGACGCGTATATATGAATATATTATCTGTAGGATAATTTTTATCACAATTATCAAAACGATTTCATTCACTTATATAAAATTTCTTTAAGATTCAATGATTTTTAGTGGTAAAATATAATAATAATAAATGGATCAAATAAAATCTATATGAACTTTGCAAAGAATTTATATTACCTTATAGCTCCCCTCAAATTTTACCGGCCATAGGAAGTGTCCGAAAAAAATTGTTTCCTTATTTTTAAACATGTAATACTAATTTTTAAATATTTCCGGTGGTCGAAGAAAATCGGGCGAAGAGTTAACTTCTTTGTCTCGAAGATCACTATCGAATATAATTCTAAAAGTTCATAAAAAATATATGGTTTAAATTTTGCCTTTATGGGCGCTTGAAATAGAACAAAATCTAAACTAGACATTTTTTATAAATAAATATTTAGAACTACATTCGGTAGTACTCGTCGAGACAAAGAAAATGAAACATCGCTCAACTTCCTACGACCAACGGAATGCCAAAAAAAATCGTATCTTTTTTTAAACATGAAACACTAATCTCTCCAACCACCTCTGGTGGTCGTAAAAAGACGAGCGAGGAGTTATTTTCTTCGTCTCGATGAGAAACAATAAATTCAATTCTAAAAGCCCAAAAAAAAACGCCTGGCTCAGATTTCGATCAATTTCATGGATCCATGGGCCCAAGTGCTTGTAATCGAGTATTCCATGTTCGAAAAATGTAAACAATTTTTTCAGGCATTTCCGGTAGTCGCAGAAAGTCAGGCGAGGTGTCATTTTCTTTGTCACGATGAGCACTACCGAATGCGATTTTAAAAGTTCACAAAAAACGCCTGGCTCAGATTTTCCGTAATTTTATGGCCTCATAAAATTAATGAAAATCTAAATCAAGCGTTTTCTGCAAACTTTTAGAATTGCATTCGATAGTGCTCGTGGAGACCAAGAAAATGACACCTCGCCTAACTTTCTGCGACCACGGGAAGTGCTTTAAAAAATTGTTTAAATTTCTGAAAATGTAGCTTTAAGTTACGAGCATTTCTGGTGGTCGTAGAAAGTCGGATGAGGTATCATTTTCTTCATTTCGACGAGCACTACCGAATGCAATTCTAAAAGTTCGTAGAAAATGGTTTAGATTTTCACTTATCTTATGGGGTCATAAAAAAGAAAACCCAAACCAGGCGCTTTTTATGAATTTTTAGAATTGCAGATAGTGCTCGTGGAGACGAAGAAAATGACACTTCGCCCAACTTTCTACGACCACGGGAAGTGCCTGAAAAAATTGTTTAAATTTCTGAAAATGTAACTTTAAGTTTCGAGCACTTCCGGTGGTCGTAGAAAGTCGGGTGAAGTGTCATTTTCTTCGTCTCGACGAGCACTACCAAGTGCAATTCTAAAAGTTCACAAAAAACGCCTGGTTTAGATTTTAATTTCATGGGTCCACAAAAATGAAAATCCAAACCGGGAGCTTTTTGTGAAGTTTTAGAACTGCATTTGGTAGTGCTCGTCGAGACGAAGAAAGTAACACCTCACCTGATTTTTTACGACCACGGGAAGTGCCTGAAAAAATTGTTTAAATTTCTGAAAATGTAGCTGCAAGGTTCGAGCACTTCCGGTGATCGTAGGAAGTCGGATGGGGTTATTTTATTCGTTTCCACGAGCACTATTGAATGCAATTCTAAAAGTTCACAAAAAGTGTCCGGTTTGGATTTTCATTTTTATGGCCCCATAAAATTAATGAAAATCTAAACCAAGCGCATTTTCTGCGAACTTTTAGAATTGCATTCGGTAGTGCTCGTCGAGACGAAGAAAATGACACTTCACCCGACTTTCTACGACCATCGAAAGTGCTTGAAACTTTAAGCTACATTTTCAGAAATTTATACAATTTTTGCAAGCGCTTCCTATGGTCGTAAAAAGTCGGGCGAGGTGTCATTTTTTTCGTCTCCACAAGCACTATCGAATGCAATTCTAAAAGTTCATAAAAAGCGCCTGGTTTGGGTTTTCTAGTTTATGGCCCTATAGGGGAGAGTTGCTATCATTGGGCCGGCTCCTTCGATGAGCCACCTCCATTATTTTGTTGTTATTAACAGTAAGCGCTATCTATTGACTGTTTACTATACTACATGAAGCTTGAAAATCGCCATCTTGACTGTGAGTTGATCCACGCACAAACAAGGTTCCTATACAAGAAAGTAAGATTTTTGTACTTTTCTTCTAATTTATCAGTGTCAACAAAATATGGATATCAGTGAGACGTTAATAGTGTTTTAGTTGTTATTGATAATATTTAAAACTGTATTCAATCAGCGTTATTTAGCCATATTAACATTGGAAGTTCACTTTGTTATAACCGAAGTCATGGACGTATTACATACCGTCTGTTAGTTGCCTTCAATGAGCCAGCCCGAGTTGCTATGAATGGGCTGATGGCCCAACCATGGAAACCATATCGAGCCTAATATTTTTTCGACTTCTTCGAGTTGTACAATAAAATGTCGTTGTATCTGATTTAGTAAAAGCCTATCACGAGTAATTAAATCGATAATTAGATAATGATCTCATTTTCTTTATTATAAAAATAATTATATTAATTTAATTTTAATCTAAATCGGAGTATCCCTCATTCGTGTGTAAAATGAATATTCTATTGAAATTATAATGATAGAAGACAGCCAATGTTAAACTTTTATCGCCGCCGTCAGCAAATATCAATTCCAACGAGGATTCATGGTTCTGTGCTATCTGTTGTGATGACTTCAAGGAAGACATGATTCAATGTCTGTCATATAAACAGTGGGTTCACGAGAAGTGTGCTGGTGTTAGAAAGGGGATCAAAGTGTATTACTGCGAAAAGTGCAACTGAACTCAGCAAGAATGAATACTTAAAAATTTTGTCTTGTCTTTTTTTTAAGACTGTACAACAATTTTTTCGTTTTGTGACAACCATTGTATTTATTTGATGCAGTAATTTGTGTAATAATTTGATTAATAATATTAGTAATAATTTAATTATTTTGTGCGATTTTAAAGTTTTCAAGATATGGTTATTGTTCTTTTTATATAATTTATAAATTATCCTCAAATTCTCATTTCCATTTAAATTATATCTAATAAACAAAATTCAATGTTATTTCGTAGATTTTCACATTATTTTATAGTTACAAAACAGTAAACAAAAATCCTACTCCTGATTTTAAAGTAGCATTTAATGATTCCGTATGAATAATGCAAAACTATCATTAATATGTTTCAACGTATTTTCTGTGGTCTGTGTTGGGTTCTAATCAGCCTTTTATATTTACGAATCATGCTCAAAATAGTTTTAAACAATTTATTGGCTTGTATTAAAGTGATATTGTATTAAAAAACTAAAATGGCAACCGGCGTATGTATAGAAACTTCTCGGCCCAATGAAGGCAACCGGTTTCCTTCATTGGGCCAACGACACTTATTTTTATTTTTTAATATTTCATAATTAAACTTAACATTTCATAATTGTAACGGCTACTTCTAGATATGTATAGTATGAAAAGTAATATTTACATTAACATGCACAAAACTGTAAAATTGACAAATTTGACGATTTTATGGAGCGTTTTGTTTAAGTGGCCCATCGATGGTAACCTTATCCTAAGATAAATGAAAATCTAAACCAGGCGTTTTCTGCGAACTTTTAGAATTGCATTCGGTAGTGCTCGTCGAGACGAAGAAAATCACACCTCGCCCGACTTTCTACGACCACGGGAAGCGCTTGAAACTTGCAGCTACATTTTCAAAAATTTAAACAATTTTTTCAGGCACTTCCCGTGGTCGTAGAGAGTCGAGCGAGGTATCATTTTCTTTGTCTCGAGGAGCACTATAAATGTAATTCCAAAAGTTCACAAAAATGCCTGGTTTAGATTTTGCTAACTTATTTCGCAAGCGCTTACGTGCGCCGATATCGCTTATTTTTCAGCGTTTATTCTACTCTGACAATTTTTTAATTTATTATGGATTGTATTCGGAATTTATATGGAATTAGCATGTGATTTTCTTAAATTTTTCTAGATGTTTGGGACGATTAAACTTAATATCTCTGTGTTGTTTTGTGTAATGTATTTTGAGAAAATTTCAAAACACACACACACGCATTCCGTAAGTTGAAGGCCGGAAGCATTCGTGCCCGTAAACCGGTTGTACATACACATGACGCGACATGTTCGTGGCAGAGAAGTTGGCTAGGGAATATTGCGGTAGCCATTCAGCATCTTGCTTGCCTGGAAATAGTATTTACGAAATATGTGGCATGTAGGATGTCGATTGGTTATTGCAATATTCCCTAATCAACTTTCGCCGCGCGGCAAGCGTTGCCGCGTCCTGTGTGCAACGGCCTTGGTATGTCGTCGATGGTATATGTGTGGCAGTCATGATAGTTAAAATATAAGCGCGACAATTTCGTAAGGACTAAAATTAACATCCAAAAGCAATTTTTAAATACCAAGTTAATAACAATCCTATATAATATATATACACACACAGTTGTTATAAAGCAATTTTCTTTAAATTTGGTACACATTTATGTAAAGTCATATCCGTAACAAACATGAATACGAGTAAGTCTCAAATAATTAATAGCAAAATGAAAAATTATTAAGGTTATTATTGCAATAACCTCACAAGTAACTATAACTATAAACAACGACAACGAATATAGTGATAATACTAATTTATAATATACTTTATAAAATTATATGTTTTATACACATTCTAGTATCACGACGATCTTTGAAAACATCAGTTAGTAAGGTTGCTTCAAAAATGCATATTGGCATATCCTTATTACAAAGGCGTAGTATGTTTTTTCGTATAGGCAAAGCTGGCTTCAAGGTACCGTAAAACTGAAATGAAATAGAGCTTATTATTTAAGAAATAATACGTAATAATTTAAAAGACTACAACAACTACAATTGTTACATATTGCTTGCAAGTATTACTAAAATGTAATATAAACATTAAAAAAAGAAAGAAATATATGCTCGTGATTTTTAAATGCAAAATATGAGAGTATCGTATTTCAGATTCCAAGATATCAAAACACTTACCAACTTGAACCTATTAAAAAATTTAACGCTGAGCTTGTCGACAAAATCTTGATCAATGTGATGCGGAGTTATTTAATTGGCATAAAATATCATCCTCAAATATGCATACAAATTTGCCAGAAAATGTCAGCAGAAGTGCGTGATCAAATTTACAGAAAATTTTACGATAGGTGATCTATTCATCAATTTAACCGGTACAATAATAACGTCCCAGTCAGAATTACAACGTTGATTCAAAGTTGATTGATGACAAAGTTGAAGAATCAATGATTCACCAACCATTTCAACATCGAATCAATATCGAATCAACGTCTGACTGGGACCCGATTATAATAAGCGTGCGCGCATATACACACA